TGCAGGAAAAGCAACATAGTCCAAAGAAACTGAGGAAGGACTACAGTGTAAAAGCATCATTTGGTTGCAGTCTTCTGTTCTATACAAAACTTCTGCTACTGTAACGTGGAAAGGATTTTTTTCTTCTCATATTAACATGTGCTGTAATGCTACAGAAGGGACTGCTTTGTGCTAGAACTCCAAGGCTGTCGTCCTGTGGTGGTGTGAGCAAACCTTTTGCTCTCTCCTCCACCCCCAGATGTTCTTGCCCTCATTCCACAAGGAGTTTTAGTTAGGTGGTAAGGTAATAGGTTGATTCAGAAAGCTGCTCCAATTAAAAGCTAATCCAGGAAAAAAAAGTGGTTATTTTTTCAATATTTTAGTTCTGTGAACTGGAGGCAGTGCAAGGCAGAGGACAAGAATGGATGGGGGACAACAGTGCACAACAGCCCTAATCTAGACTTGTTTAAGCCACAGCTGACCAGCACCTGGACTTTAGTCTGTTCTACACGACTCTGCCATCAGCCTGCTGCAATTAAAACAAAGCTAATTGTTTCTTAGGTAATTTGCTTTGAATTCTGCAGGTAAAAAGTGCTGAGTGGAAGTCAAATATTATGGGAATAATCCCATTTACTTCAGAATCAGCTCAAGGGGGTGTATTTTTTCACATTCATACCACTGGGAGAAGTAAATGCTATGCTGAAAGTATTCCCTAAGGGAGATTATGTATTTTTAGTCTGTGAACCTTTTCAGCTTTTATCCCCTCATTCACTACAAAGCAACTTTACTGGTTCTTACAAAGTAAACATAGAAGTCCACAATAAAACGATAGCATCTTTATAGAGCTGCTGTTCACAATCTCCTAAAACAGAGTTTGGCCTCTTCAGTTTTTTTGTTTAAGGTATATTCTCCTAACAACAACAAATATACAAATAATTGAATGTTTGGAGAACAAAATTTGAATTTTGGAAATGAGTCCTTGGCTTTGTAAGATGATATCATCAGTGTCATCTACTGAACGACTTTAATTTCATAGTTTAGATTACAACTTTCATGAAAGCTTCAATTACAGAGTCTTGTAGATAACCTATAGTTAAAAATTAACATATTTATTAATTGTTTAGGCAGTACTTTGTTACCAGCAAACTTAGGCCTACAACTTCAGTCTTATGTGGTAACTTAACCAATCATCATCCTTTTCTTACCATTAATTTTCAGTCAAGATTATAAGTAGAGAACAAATTACATGGATTGAGTATTCAGTCAGCTTGGACCACCTGTAATTGTTGTTCTGAAGTTCTATGGTTGCACAGTGCCTGGGAACCAGAACATTAAAATCTGCCTACCTGTAGCACCTCTGCTGGCTACACCGAATGCTTAAGGAGCAGTGTTGTGGCTCCTAATGCAGAGATTCATTTCTTTTTGCCTCTCCCTTTAAGTAAGCACTTCTTTTGTTAGTGTAGCTTCATAAACTGCTGAAGCTCCACTGACCAGTGTGCTGTACTACTTCAGCAATATAAATGAATTTAAAGTTAATAACATTGCCTTCTGTACTAAAGAGTTTGCCATTGTGTATGTTATACAACAAATCACAGAAAGTCATGCATTGTTTCATTCTGTAAACTTTTTACCATTTGTCTACTGTAAGAATTTTCAGAAGGCTTAAGAAATTCCCAGACAAATAACTATTTTAAGGTATAGTTAAGGTACACTTTCAACTGCAACTCTAATTCATTCTTTAGCAAAGGAAAATATGCAGAAGAATGAAGTTTTAGGAGATCACAAAGCTTTACGATATCTTAATAATAATAGTTCATTTATTGCATGCTGATCAAATGGGATGAAGATTAGGTAGTTCTTGTGCACATCTTAATATACTTGCCTTTTCACAAACCACAACTTCTTGTCCTTTACAGCCTTACCCAAATCTTACCATGTGTCCGTAATGGTTTTGCCTACCCTATGTTTTCACACTTCTTAATCTTCATCATAATTTCATTAAAGCCCGTTTTGCATTTTATTGCTCAGATGTCCTCTTTAAATTCAAGTCGAAATTACTGAATGTAGGCCTAAGTAATCTAAGTGAAAACTGGGAAAGAACAAAATTCGGTATTGCTCAGTGTTTTTCTGCTTCCAAGAGTACCTGATTACATGCTGCTTTATTAACAATACATTTCCTTAGTGCCCAAAGCCATCCCAGACTGAGTAGCTTATCTCTTACTTAAGACCCACCGTTCTTTTGCTTGATCATTCTTCTGCTTCATGCCCTTGAGGGAGCTAATCTTGTAAACGTTGGTAGCAATCTGGAAGACACTATGTCAGTCCTCATAGTGAGACTGTATCATAGTGAGACCAACTTCCACAAAATGCAATTAGAACCATTTTCTTGGAAAACAGCACAAGAAAATACACGAGTATGGCAAGAGCTCTCACTGAAGAAAGAAATGTAGCTTTAGTCTCATCTTTGGTCTTCGTTCAGATTGGTGCTGCACCTCCCAAAAGTGATCCAGCCACCAATTTATGCATTAAGGGTATATAAACCAAATGCATGTGCATACCTAGTGCACTTTTGCACAACGGACATGATTTGTCATCATAGAAGGTGTAATTACCCTTGTAATTATCACTTGGCCCGTTTTTAAGGCCCTAAGCTAAGCTGTGGTTCAGTTTCGTGAGGACTGAGCCAGTACAAAGATTCAAGCCAGGATAAGTTGCATGTACACTGAGAGAGGTTAACAAGAGCAACAAAATTAGCGCACTAATTGCTTTGTGCTAATTGTCAGTATCCATTTTTACCTTACCCTGTAGATGAAGTAGCCCTCTCTCAATGAAAGATTCAGCTCACTTAGATGATCTTTACCACCAGGTAAATGTGTGGCATGCCCACAGGAAGTTATTGCAGTACAGCTGACGTGCAGTAGTTTGGATTTCCATAGCTATGCCTACACTGGGGTAGGTTGCATGGATTGCATGGAGAACCTGTCAGCAGTGAGTCAGCAGTGGAATTTCCTGTACAACAACTTTATTTGCCCCAGCCTGCTGAAGCTTTATTGCTGTCCAGAAAGAGTCAGGGATAAGAGGTGTTAACCCTGACTTGGTGATCAGAGCAGTGTACTGCTAGATGAAGATGAGGATTTGGTCCTAAAGAAAGATTTTGAGAGCTGGGATTTCTGCTTGCTGAATGCTTCGGCAGCTGGGCATCATTACTTCAATGCTCACAACTGCTCTCCTGCAGAGAGGGCTATAGGGCTCTAAATCCAGGGTGATAGCAATGCTTGCTTTTTAGCATCTGGGAAAATACTTTAATTCCTTATGTATCTATATTTAATGCTTCTTATTGCCAAAGCTACAGACAGATAAATGTTTAAATTGTATTTAATCCAAGACTGAAGTGCCGTGGTCTTTTTAGTCTCTGGAATGAATCTGTTCACCCACCACAATGTTTTGAGCCCACTGCAAACTAGACTGGACTAGGCTTATTTTCTTCTCTTAGTTTAGATTTCTTGAACGTAATGCATGAAATTAAAATGTAATTCTCCTTCATGCACGATGTTTTCCACATCATTTTGCTTGGGCTTCTGCATAATTAACATCTAGTAATCTAAGTTTAAATTTAAAAGAGAAGAGCTAAGATGCATCTAATCATGTGTCCCAAATAGCACATGTTCATTTTTCAAATTGTCTGCATACCAAGAATGCAATGCTTCCTCCCAAAAGAGAATATTTTTAATCCTCAGTTTTAAACCATTTTATGAGTTCCTTTCTGTTGCAAAGCAAACAGTTCATCATCTGTATGGGTATATAAGTGTTCCAACTCAGTAAATGTTGGTGTTATATACGGGATTAGTACATTTAGTTAGTTTGTAGCTATCTGTCTTCATGCTGATTTAATTAGACATGTTGAATCATTGGAGAAAACAAAAAAAAAATTACTTGTCTGATGTCTCTGTTCACTCCCAGGTCTGTATTATATTCACTGATTTTGGAAAAATGCAGAATGTTTGCAACCTACTTACTGAAAAGTTAGGGACCTCTGTTACCATCAGCCCACCTCATTTCTACCACACGCCAGAAGCCATAGACACCCTTCGGTAAGTTTTCTCATGTGCCACAAATTGTACAGCCTCAGATAATATTTAATATGCATATTTAATTTCTACAGTTTGTAATGGGAGAAAATAGTTTCCTTCATACATAAGAAAATTTGTGTTTCGGATTTTAGCATTTGGTCTAAATATAACTTGATGATTTTCCGCTTAGGAGGATGAATCTTGTTCTTTCTACAGTGCCCCTGTGCAAAGCAGAATGTAATAAATGTTTCCTCACTGATTTCCATTGGAAGTATAATCTACTGCAAATATTAGGTCAACACAATTTGACTTAGGTTACATCAGCATGTGTTACTTGAGTTTATTCATGAAGGTACAAATATGTTACCAGATGTTGATAATTCTAAGTACCTTTACCAATTCCCAATGCTTTCAGCTACTGACGTGCTCTGACATGAGCCATGTGCAGTGCTCACTTAGCATCAAAACATGCTCTTTGCTTATAGTCTTGCTATTTTAGTCTTGCTATTTGTACGAGTTGGCTTTGCTTATTATCGTGCTGCTTTTTCTACCCCTCAGCCGTAGAGTGTGTGTCGCTGCTGTTGGAAACACACAGCAGAAAGCTCAAGAAGTGTGTCGGCTGTTTGGCCAGTCATTAGGAAAACCTTTATTAATAAAAGAAGAAGAAACAAAAGAATGGGGAGGCCACATAGACAGTCACCTATCTAACTCCCCAGATTCACTGACGCTGCAGGAAAGAATCCAGAATGCTACTGCTTATGCATCTTGTCGAGTGTTTGCTGTGTTTGAGATAAAGGGAAAAGAAAACAGAAGAAACAAGCTGCTCTAAAAATTTTCAAATCATACTTACTTTCTTAATAAATTTTTATGCTTTCTTAATAAATATAAAACTTAAAAGTTTCATTTTTTTTTCTGCTCTGCAACCTACCAGTTGTTCACTTCTAATGAAATGAATCCTTCAACATAAAACACCCTTAGGAATGCTTTATTCCATCATACGAAAAGAAGAACCCAACCATGCATTAGTTTTTATCTTGGTGTCTATTTGCTCAAGTTTATAAAGGAAATATGTTGTCCAGATGTACATTATATGTACAGATACTTGAATGCTTCAGTCATGAGGATAGATGTCTCTCAGCCACGGCTGCAAAATATACTTTGATCCGTCATATCCACAGAAATAGACTTTAACATCAGGGTGGTGTACCTGAGAAAGTATTTCAAGTTGAATTAGCACCAGAATTAGCAGTAAACACAAACTGATACTTGGATGATTTAAATTAGCTTTTTGAAAACTCCTGATTAGTCTAAATTCATAATGTACACAGATATACTTTCAGTGGGATTTTCCACACACTTTAATACAGTTTATGCAGTCAGAACAGTGGCTTTCACAGACCCTCAAGGGCCCTACAAACGAACTAATCTCCCAAGGTATCACTTGCTAGATTTAACTGGGCTTGGTTTTCTAACACAACACTGTTTCTAATTGAAGTAGTTTCCACTCAGTTGTCACTGGTACAGCTTTCTGTTATTTTTGTCTGGATCAGTTATCTAATTCAACTAGGCAGGCAGCAGGAACACCAAAGCAGTCAGGGAAGTGGTGAAGAGACACAAAGTTGATGATCTTTCACAGACTTGTAGACTGGCTTAGGTTGAAAGAGACTTTAAAGATCACCTAGTTCCATCCCCCCATGATTCCATAGGTATAGGCATGATTACCCATTAATTTCAACTTGATGGTTTTCAACTAGAAATCTAGATTGGCAAGCATCTAGATTATCTTCCTTAATAATCTGTGGGACTAAGCCTCTGATAACTGGATTTCATTAGGTAAATATTTGTGGTGAGGTATTTGTTTCTCCTCACGGGCTATAAATGTCACTGACTGGCATGACAAAAGAGTTCTTTTTTAGACACAAGTCAGTGTGGTCAGAACCCAATTTTAAATACTGATGATACTCATCTGCGTTCCTGCTCCTATAGTTCCTAGTCCTGAGTTCAGGCATGTTAACTGTTTTGTATTGCTGGCTAACACAATTTTTTTGTTGCTAGTCTCTGACTAGTTTAAGAACCAGGTGCATATTTGTAAGCTAGAAATCAAAAACTACCAAGACCATGATATACAAAATGGAATTATAGCCTAGCAGAGTCTTGCAATTAAAGAAGGGAGACATTATTCAGTCTAGGCAGTGACTAAGCAGGAGCTTTTTGAAATGCAGATTTTTCAGGGTTGAATTGAGAAACCAATGTACTTGGCTGGGTTCAGTAGAAAGAAATTAAATGACTTGTCCAACATTGATGGGCCAGTGAAATTCTAAAATAAAAGTCCACGTCTGCAACAGCCTGTACATAACCAAAGCCAAGTTGCTAAAAGACCTCAGGAGGAAAAAAAAAAAAAAAACCTAACAAACGAAAGAAACTGCCTTGGTAGTTGGATACTGTTAAGTAGACAGTAACTTGTTTGAGTTATTTATCACCTTCTGAAAACACACATTTGAAAGTATGGCAGTACTTTGCATGTCTGCTTTCTCTATTAGTTTCACTACCTTTGTAAAATAAATAGCTTCTATTAAGCCAAAGGTCAGCCAACTTCTAAACACAGAGCTAACAAACAAGTTGCAAGTAAATAAAAATAAATACTACCTCTAATCCCACAATAATTGTTATCTCTTCCTCAGGAATGTAAGCGGTAGATTTGCCGAATCCACTTGCATTGTTAATTAGAATTCGATAGTGAGGAGTATCTTTTACATCCTGTAAAAACACAAGGAAAATAAAGAGCCTCAAGAGGAGATGGTGACTAAAGATTACAGTGTATAATCCATTAACTTTCAATACACTTACAGAAGCTAAAACCACTCAGTACATACATATGGCAAGTTTACATTCTGTGATCACACCAACATCAATTTGGAAAACTAAATATAAAACAATCAAAATGCAGTGAGGTTCTTCTTGGCAAATATAGATATATTTTATTTTAAGAGCCAAGATTTTAAGTATCATTTTCTTCCATGCATCTTTCAAGATATATGACTTAGAATATCTCTTGGGGCCTGCTTTTTGCATATAGGTCCCATGACAATCTGTTAGCCCTCCATCTACCTTCACAACTGTTGACAGAGAAAACACCAGAGAGAGAGGGTCAAATTCAGAGCACCTCCGACAACCTCAGTGTCCAGTGGTGGATAAAGCTACAGCAACTTGTATATACAGCAATATATAAAAAATCATCTAGCCAAGAAGGAAATGTCAGTTACTGTTATTTTTGTAGTGCCTACAAACCCCAGTTATTGGCCAGGATCCCACTGTGCTGACTACTGTCCACAAGTGTTCCCACCTAAAGTAACTCACAGTCTAAATAGAAACAGTGATGGATGAATATAGGCAGATAAATGGAGTTTATGCAGCAGTTAGTATTGATCCATGTGACAGGCAGTGGCCTCCGCTCAACAATGTGGTAATAGATGCAAGGCAGAGAAAGGCAGAAAAAGGATGGGCTCAAAGCTTGGCTAATATTCAGTGTAGATTTGAAACAATCAAGCTTAATAGTTGCCTCGAAATGGTCAGAAGACATTTTGCATAGCAGGAGCACAAAACATGAAAAAGCAAAGGCAAGTCAAAAATAATAATAAAAAAAAACAAAACACGACACTTAAACCACACTTTCACTACTGAAATTAAAACCATCATATGAATACGAGGTCGTTGGGAGAACAGAAAACTGTAAGAGTCTTATAACAAATCAGAATGCCTGATGGAAAATACATGAGTGTGCAGTTGGTAACAACACCATTGAGGGGACAAAAAGAGAAGGATGAAGAGCAAGAATGCAGATGTTTTAGAAGCCAAGGATGAGTAGCAGATGGATAAAATTACAGCAGGGAAGGGACAAAATGAACACAACAGTGCCGAATGTCTGCTCCCAGCTGAACATGAATTCTCATCTACAGGCAGTTTCTCATTTTTTCTCATTTTCAGTCCTCTCTGGCTTACTGATGAGTGCCTTTCTGCCACTTAGGCAGCATGGCAGTGGCCAACCTCCAAGTATCCTGCACTACATTATCAGGCCAGCACTGTCAACAAATATTTAGCATCTGATTTTCAAACACAACACAGACTTAGGCTACAGAATTTCAAAAACTTCAAGAATTCTAATAAAAATTGATTGTTAAATAAATACACATTTCAACTGTCCAGATCCTCAGAAGCATAGCTTCCTATCTGAAACTGATTAAACACAAAGGCTTACTTGCATTTCTTAGATGCGGTGAAGATGTTACCAATTATACCTACTCTAGAAAATCAGAAGAAACTTTTCAATTTCAGTGACAAAACAAGGGAAATTTATTCTAACATTTCAGGTTGACACTGCTATTTTAAATACAATGCTGTGTTTGTAATTTTAAGTCACGAAATGTCAAGCACAACCCTGGTCAGCAAAGTTTGACCAATCAGTGCTGCAAAAGCAAAGCTCTGCCATTAGGTTAGCAGGAAGTCTGAAGCAGTGTTTGAGATTTTCTTGTTTTTAACCAGAGTTATTCTCTGTCTGTATTAATAAAACAGGAGTTTAATTCAGCCAAACCTGTTTTTCTGGAGGATATTTGTGTTGTAGCCATTCTTCTGGAGCTTTAGCTCTCACATCCCATCCAACAATGACTCCCGAATAACCAAATCTTTTGTGAACTATCACCTGTCCCACACTGAACTGGATAGATTCAGGCTTTGGACTGTGAACATGAGATGATGCTAATTTAATAAAGAAAGAGAGTTAGCAAGGAGAAGTGTTTTATGAAGCACATTAAGCATTTATACAGACATTCACATTCTTCTGACTTCTACCAGAATTGACGGTTAGATTTATAGGCAAAAGTTAGCAAGGAAACAGGTTTGTTTGTTTGTTTTTTTCCCTCCAGGAGTATGATATTTGACAAAGCAGCAATCAGTAAGGAAAGTCATTTTCTATTTGTGTCTCTTTGATATGACATACAAGTCTTAAAAGTGTTTTGGAAAGCATACACACGTGTCTGTATTGACAGTTACTGTTCAGCTTCACCTTTATATTCAACACTTTACAATGCTATACACAATAACTAATTTTGTCATTATTTTTTTTTCCATTTGGGTCATGGAATGTTTCTTTTCCATCTACTGCAGGAAATTTTTTGTCAGACCAGAATAATCAATGGCTTCTTTTTTCTCTTTTGAAGTTGATTTAAACGTATTCATTTGAATCAAGTGAAAACTATACCATTATTTCATACATCAATACAAAATACACTCAGATCTGTTCAATAAAACAGACACATGTATGTGGTGCATCGACAACATTGCACAACTCAAGGTGGAAAGACCTCAAATTTTATATGTTCTGTTTTGCTTATGAATGGTATCAGTGTTTAGGGAGGACCAGGAAAAAAATTACAAGTATAGAAATACACTATAGAAAAACTCAGAACACATTATCACCAGCAAAATCCAAAAAGACTACAAAGACTTCAATACCTGCAAAATAAGAATGGTTTTCTGCTTCATTGTTGGCACTTTTAATTTTCTTTTCTCCATAGTACCAATTCCTAAAATGTAAAATGAATAACCAAACATTCAAACAAGTTATTTAGAAACTGAATTTTAGGATAATCAGCTTTCTGATTATTACTTTAAGCCTTTGTCTGAATAAAGGAATGCTGCAAAGCCTTTGGCTCAAAATTCCTCATAATTTGAAGCTCAAACAGAGTGAGAATTTTACTTTAACACCACTTCAAGGAAAGGAATTTTTTCCAAGAGGATAAAAAAACATGAATATAACTTCCTTGGATATGTGGCTCCACAGCTGCATTAGAATTTATATTTCAGAGAAAACCCATTTACTTTCTATAGGTGAGCATGATATTATTCTGATTTGCAAATTCTACTGTGAAAACTTTAAGATTGCTTAACTGTGATTTGTGCAAGATGTCAGCAATGAGCCACAGCTTAAGGCTATAGTAAATACAGCTTATTTGTGCTAAACTGAATTTAAAGGGGGGAACTCAACTTTTTTGGGGGGCAAGGGTTAGACTATCAAATATTTCTTCTGCTCAAAATACAGTAGGAGCAATCTATGAAAAAAATAATTTGGGCAACCCTGCCCATGTCAGGCATCCACAGCAGCCAAGAACCTGCTGGTGCTGAAGAACTAGCATTTTTGTCCCACCTTCTCTCCTCTTCTATGATGTTCCCCAGCTTTGCTCTTTCAGTCTTACTTCCTTCACCCTGCCTGAAAGAAAGCAAAAGCAGGTTCCACAACTGTGCAAACTACATATTTTATATTTTTTTAAATCTTAGGTTAACTCTCAGCTGTTGGAAGGCTTAAGGTTGACAACCTTTTAACAGAAGCAGGAAGGGGCAAATAACCTGATTTGTCAGATTGTGTTGTTGAAACCAGCAACTAGTGAGGAAGGTTTGGAATGTCACAAATGTTCCCAGATTTTTAGGATATCCAATTTTTTTTTTTTAATGATAAGATATTCAGGAGACACAAGCTGCTCCAAAAAATATGCAAATAATTGACTGATCTTTTGGTGTTTGAAGGTTTTATCTTTACACACAACTGACACTTTCTGCAAAGTTAAAAAGCAATTTACAATGAAGCTGAGAGCAGCACAGTTTCCTTTTGTATGTTACTCTGCTACACTTTCCTGGGGGCAAAAATAAATCTGAATATTCCACAGTTCAGAAGTACTCCTTAGCACCTGGATCGCTGTACACGAATCAATTATAAAGGACCTCAAAGGTCTATGCAGTGTAGAACCTTTAGTATTTCTACTGCACAAGGGTTACATCTCACAAAGGAGCCCTTTAACCTCCTTGAACAAATCCATTCAATAATTGCCTTAAACTGAACTGGCATGTGTGTAAATGAATACAATCGTTTTTTTCCCTAGACCACTTCATCTATATGTATCCAATAACCAAGTTTTAATCTTAAACCCACAGATTTCCCATCTGCATTTTTTAGGCCACCATATATAGCATAAGATACCCATCTCATTGTAGATCTTATCGTGCAAACATTAATGCAGTTAATCCAGTGGTCTTTGATACAGATCAATTTAAAGTAGTGGATAACACATACAGAATTACTGCCATGAATTATGTCTAGCTTCACACGGAGTTCAAATTGCACATTTGTGTAGAAGACACACAACGGTTTTCTTAAAACTGGTACAAAGCCACAAATCAGTCTCAACAAGAAAATGAGAGCCATTTCCCCTCTATTACTCATTTCATTCCTGCAGCATAACCTGCTGTTAAAAATAGGCTGTGCTTGAAAGATGCAGACAGTGTGTAACACCGTACCTCGCCTCTGATAGCCACAGCTTCAAACGATCTGCCCACAGGTCCAGGCTCAAGTAAGATTTCGTAAAGCTGCTCCCACAGGCAATTAACCTTTAGTAGTAAAAAATAACACCACAATGCTTTAAAAGCCTTCCAGAGGATTTTTATATTTACAAATATATTAACATTTACATATATAAACTTTAAGGTTTCACTTCTGCAGCGAACAGGAAAAAAAAAAGTCCATGACAAGGAACAAGTTCTCCTCAAGATTCATATCTGGACTGCAAATAAATACCCTTTCAATCATCACTTGTGCCAGTAAACCATATATAAATTTTGGAAAATGCCACCTGTCATGGCAAAGCAGCTTTTTTCTGTAGTCAGGCCACAGGAGTTGCTAAATTGCATCAGATTCTGATGTTCAACTGTAACTCTGGAATTCTGAGCACAAGGCATTTAAAAAATGGTGCACATCACTGAAGGACTGTTAAAAAATAGCCAAAAAGTTCTTCATGCACTTAAATTGTTAGCAGTTGATTTCAACTGTGAAATCTCTAAGTGTTTTAAGTCTGGATCCTTACCCCCACAACTCTTTTTGCATGGTACATGTTCAAAATACCAACATTGGCAATTGTTACCACAATTAAAAACTTGAATCTGGTGCACTGTTGTCCACCTTGTGTTTAAGTAAATGTACATGTGACCCTGTCAATATATAAACTCTTAATTCATGAACAAAACAGCACCATTTGCCTAGCTCTATCACTATGACTTCCTTAAGTTAATATATGATGTAAGAATTTCTGTTACTTAAGACTCCATAATGAGTCATACTGTGCAAAAAAAAAAAAAACCTATTTTAAGAATAACTATCAAAAGGTAATGGAAAGTTAGAAATTGTCTTACTACTCAAATGTTGCATTTCTCCCTCTTTAAAGGGGAGATTCATATAGATTGGAATTAGATTGGAACATCCAAAAGCAGAATGAGATGCAGCCATGCAGGAAAGATAACAGATTTTTACGTGAAGGCAGTAAGAGTTGTCATTCACATGCTGAAAGTCTCTTTCATGCAGTCACATTAAGCCATAAAAATATCTTAGGTTTGATGTGAATGTTTTTGTATAGGAATGGGCAGCGCTCCACGCAAACTCTCCCTTTTCAGGACAAAGGTTCACAGGGAATGTCAAGAGAACTCTCTTGTAAATAGCATACGGAAGATGTACCACCTTTTTGTCATTCGGATGCTCTGAGCAGGGTCTGCTCCATACCACTGGGATATGTAATACTGTGCAGGAAGCGCAGCCAGCAGCGCACAGATCTGCAGGGCTGCAGCTGTGCTGATGTGAGGCATCCCAACAAGGAGTTCTTCAAAGAGACTTCCCTGCTCTCTTATCTAGAAAAGAGGTAAAAGAAAATAGAAGGGGGAGAAAAAAAAAAAAAAAAAGGAAGATAAATAGGGTAACATGCAGCTTGCCTAGCTGCATAGAGCTTAAAAGTTCCCTGTGGATTGCTTTGTTACTCCACAGGATAATATACAAACTGTACACACAAATGTAAATTGGGTTTCGCTACATTAAATTTGAGAGCGTCTATAGAAACTAATAGAAGACTGAAATAGAGTAATTAAATGCATTAAACACATTTGACACATCAGATCGATGGCTTCAGAAAAAGCCATTTAGATGCAGTATTGCGTGTGCAGAATGGAGGGATTTTTCTCCAAGAATGTCTCCTTCAGACCAGAAGCATTACCCCAAGGTAAGAGTAACACAGGCCACAGTCACATCACAGCCTGGAAGCTCAGAATCACAGAATGGCCCAGGTTGGAATCTCCAACCCCCGGCCACATGCAGGGCCACCAACCTCCCCATTTAATACAAGACCAGGCTGCCCAGGGCCCCATCCAACCTGGCCTTGAACACCTCCAGGGATGGGGCATCCACAGCCTCTCTGGGCAGCCTGTTCCAGCACCTCACCACTCTCATAGTAAAGAACTTCCCCCTGATGTCCAACCTAAATCTCCCCTCCCTCAACTTGAAACCGTTTCCCCTTGTCCTGCTGGAAACACACCAACACCACAGCCACCCCTCCACAGTGGTTACAAAATGATGGTCAGTGTAACTGACACTGCCAGACAGCAGGCCGGCCCTGCAGCCCCAGACGCCCGCACACAGCCCCAGGTACCTCAGCAGCCGTCAGCACGCGTTTCTGCTCTGCTCCAGCCACCCTGAGGCACAGCTGAGGGCTGCTTCTTCACTCTGTGGCCCCAGGGCGAACAGCACCCCTAACCCATACCCTATGAAAGGAGAACAGAAAGGAAGAGTTGCATCTTATTCTCACAGCTTCCTTTTGGGTAAATATGCGCTGCTCCCCTGAGCACAGATTTCAGTGGTTTCTTCCGGAGAAGTGAACAAATCTATTTCCCTGTCACAAACAGAAGGCCAATGGAAGTCCCCTGGTTTGAATATTATGCAAAAGAGAATCAGGATGTATCACACACTTGTAACGCAGCGTGCCTGGGAACACCCTCCTGGCAGCTCTGAGCACTCTGCAGCCAGCACAGGGCCCGGCTCTGTCAAGGGTGGATGAATGCATAACAGAAGCCAAAGCCTCCTCCTCCTCTATCAGGACATCCATCAGACTTCACCCTAGCCTCTACCAGGCTGGGTCTGCTCGCACTAAGGCCACAGCTGCTGAAGGAGTCACCTCTTTATCACTTCAGTAAGTAGCATTGATATCTGCACTTTCCAAATAAATATAAAACTACAGAAAGCACTTTTTTTCCTGCAGGCATGTGCTACAAGTGGCACTGGTCTCTGACATAGTGCAAAAAATACAAGAACAACACCATATGATGATACGGGCAGAAAGCTCTTCTGCATTCTATCATGTACAAAATCAGCAATGTATATTATAAATTCCAGCCAATGTACAGTGTTGTTAGACAGCTAACGAGTGATTATGTCCCTTCTACACACAGGGAAAAGTCATGAAGGGTCGTTGCTGGACAGAGCAGAGGAGCGGCATCACCTTTTCTATATATCACACTGCTGGCCTGAACACCTTGCTTTGTTGCTGGGTCTGAATTGCATTTTGTTGGGCAACAGTTTTGAGCCTAGGGTGCATGGAAGGTAATCAAGAAAAGCAAGCATATTTTCAGGCTTACATTCAGCATCCTGGGGCATGCAGTCAAACAAGGGCAATCCGTCTTTCTAGTGCAGAAAATGCTTTGAATTCCTGTGCCTTGGCTATGCAGGCAGCTAAGGAAAAACATGTCAGGGTTTGGCACTGTTTCTTTCACCTCTCCGTAGCTTGTGTTACCACTCAGTATTCTTCCCTCCCCATCCTCAGGACCTCCCCAGAGTTATTCCTTGCTTTGGGGTCTGCCCACATTAGTAAGGCTGTATAAAGATGACCAAAGGCTGGCAAAAGCTACAATAGCAGCTTCAAGGCAGTTTTGCTGGAAAACAAATTACGTGGGAACTGAATGAGCAGTCCTGGGGTTTTGTCTGCAGATGGATGTCAGCCTGTGCAGCATGGAGATCTGCCCCATTAAAGCCTCACATAAATACCAGTCTAGACTGGAAATACTAATGTAATCTATGGAGAATGTTTTTAAAACAACAAAGCAAGTTGTTTCTCTATAAATAAAATATAGCATAACTAGCTTCGGATAGATAATAAAACCATTATTCTTCCACACAATTAAAATGTCATTATAAGGGGAACATAGCATTAAGCTTTTTGAAGGTACTTAGGAATTGCTTATCACAGAGGAATCACAGCCTGTGGCCAATTCAGCAAAAGAAAATGCCTGCTTATTCCCTACGTTGCTCTAACAGAGGGATGACATCAGGACCTGAAGAGGAAAATGCAAATATATTTCTTCTAGGATCTTCACTTCCAGCATCAAAAGCAACTGGGAATAACAGGAAGGAAGAGAAAGAGGGGTAGAAAGGCACAGTTTTTGTTTGAAATGCCTTTCTCTGGGGGAATGTTTGGTGCTCAGACAGCTATGAATGTTGGTTTCAGCATCTAAATAAGCTGGCTGGATATGAAGAAACTCTTTCAGGAAGAAGAGATTGAGAGGTTCAGGTGACTCTTCCTGTTACTTGAATAAAGACCATTTCCTTCCAGACAGCATATTCCTCCCTAGCGTTGGAAAGCTTATCTATGCAAGGGCAAAGTCTCTCCATACAAGTGGATTGGTATACATACATACACATCCTTATTCCCCTGGCTCATGCAATGGGATGGATTGGGTTTTGTTGGCTTCTGGTAAAAATGAAAAAATACAGCTGTGACTTGATCTGCAGGGAGTCAGGTACTGGGCAAGCAATCTAAATCCACACTTCTTTTTTTGTGAACGATACGTAACGTGGTGAAAGGTTCTTAGTATTTTTTATTAATCCTCTCAGCATCATGTCTTTATGTGTTTTTGGCATTGATAGGAGTTGAAGTCAACCCTTTCATTGCCCTGGATTGAATTTGTATTTTTTTAAATATTAGAAAACATTTTCTTCCACCCTTTCTTTCCCCTTAGACAGTAGAAAGCTTGGGGAAAACATTATAAGAAGAATTTGCCATGATAGCAATCAAGTAAAACTATAACATTGAATAAAATAGAATAAAATAGAAGAAAATAAAATAGAAGAAAATAATATAGAATAAAAATAAAATAAGGAGTCAACTTGTAACTCAGTGACAGCAATACCAGCCTCAGCTGGTATTTTTAAGGGCACCAGACACCAAACCAGTATTACTGTCCCTCTAATCTCACTTTTGTGCTGACCACAGCTCACAGCTGTAACTGCTGGCCATGTTTCATGGATGCAACCATGATAGTGACTGAGCAGCAAAGCAATGTTCAATAATACAGAGCTAAAGCTTTTCTTCTGGTGGAAGATCAAGCTCAGTGAAACAAACCTTTGAAAATCAGGCAAGAGAATCTGATGTACATTTTCTGAACAGGCTTAGTCTGCGTTGTTGTTTATCTTTTTTGAGCAGCCTCTCCCTACACTTGTTTTTTCCTTGTCCTGTTAGCAAAGAAGTCATTTCTAGCAGTCTGAAGGCTTTTCTACTGACGTGAGGTACCTGGTGACTGAGATAAACTTTTTAGAAGGCAGAAGTGATTAAATATTAAGTGACCCATTTTCCCTGAAAACATGGAGCAGCCTGTGCTGTACAGCATGGGTAGACCCAAAGATAAATGCTAAACATTGCCTTTCAACTCTAGGGTTTTTGCTATCATCATCCTCATGAAGAACTTCGATGCAACTGTATTTCATGCAAGTTTAACCTCATACATTTGCATATGACAGCACATAACTGTACCAGCCATTTCGTAGTTACTTAAACAGGGTCCTCTCCTCCAAAACTGAGATGCACGCACACACCCACACCCACACCGTTGGAGGAAGGCATTAGCAGACAGAGCTGCTTCAGCATGAGCCTTCTCAGACTGTATCTTCATTCCTCAATGGAAGATGTTAAAAGCAGGGCAGGAACATCTCTGCAAGCAAGGCCAAGTCTCAGTCTTTGCTAAAGCAGGCACTTTGTTTGAGGGGGTATAAGAAATAATCATAAAAATGGCACTCTATAGCACATTTGGCTCCTCATCACTTAGCTGTGTGCCTGGAAAGAGTCCTGGGCTTGGGTGGGACCAGCTGCAACACTGCTGTGCTATGATCTCTTTAAGGATGCAAAATTCCTCGCAGGAGTTCTAAAAAAAAAAAAAAAAATCAGGAGAAAAAAGAAAATAAATGTTGATATAAAAGGAGCCACGGACCAAACACTCAAAAAGCAAATGCTTTTCAATAGAAGGTAATTGCATGCACAAAGGGAAACTGGAATTTTCCACTGACCTGTGAGTCCTGGAAAAGGGCATTCCTCAACCATTTGCATTCCCAGCATCCATATTCCCTGTCAGTACCAATTCTCTAAGAGAGAGAGAGAGGGAGAGAGGAGGCTGAGCTGAGAGCCAGGGGCACCCAGAGGAGGGCACAAACAGAACCAAAACTCACGAGAAGCCCTATGCAATTTTTAATACAAATTTTGACACTGGTACACAGACCAAAGCATTTTCTTTGAAGATTACCAAAGCAGAATCCTGGTTTGATAAATGAGCATGTAAGAAGAAAATGCTGCCCATAAGACTGTTTCTTGACAGAAAGCTTATATGAATTTTCTGATCATTTTCCTAAATAATTTAACCTCTTGTTTTCCTCACAGCTTTAGCTATCAGGAGACTTTAATATTAATGCACATTTTACAGCCTCAAATTCTTTACAACCATTAGGCTAAATAGAAATCTCAAGTTTTGGAATCCTAATCCTTCCCAATGTGTTTTTTTGCCAGAGAAGGATGGCTGTTGTGCATTGAGTGCTCCTGCACAAAGACCTCCTCCGTGCTGAGGTGCTGCTTGGGTAAAAACATGCAGTGCTATGGAAGTTGCTGACACAATCACAAGTTAAATAAGTTATTTATTTTTTTTTCCCTAAGTAGTTTTGTTCTGTAAATATCATTAACATAAAACCTTGGCAAACATGAATATTTTGACAGCTGTATTCCCATTTTTAGCAGTTGATGGCAGCTTGCCCCAACCTCCTTAGTAATAAAGAGTATTCAGATTAGGATCTGTAATACGGGGTAAAAATAATCCTATTGCATTTCTCTACTGTGGGATATAAATCAAACAATTCTAGTGGTTTAGTCACATTCTAAACTAGTTTTGCATCTTAAGTAACAGTGAAATATCCTTGTTCAAACACAAAATCAGTGGCCTGAAATAAATCACACGTTAGCAGATTAGACTGTAAGGTACTTTGAACACCAACCAGTATCGACTTTGAGCTCGGTACTTTCAGGAATCAAACATGACCCTGCAGAAGTGTGATGCTGGATGAAGCAATTACCCATTTCTGCTCTTGTTTCTTCTTCTGTTTTCATTCAGTGATGTACCTGAAAGATAGGTACATCAGGTAGGACCAAGTTTAGGTAAAATCTCCCCATTTCTGAAATAGGAAAAGGAAGTATGGATTAGAAGCAGCACTCCACAATTCTGTATCCTGTCTTCCCCTCAGCCAACACAAGGATTTCAGAGTATGAGAGAGAATCCATTAATCCTTACTACACCTCTGTCAGAGTAAATGAAGCCTGTTGTGCAAAGATCTAGCGCACAGGATGCCAGCGAGACAGAAAAACAGCTGGGTACACTGGGCCATGAGTTTCCTGTCCACAGTAGTAAAACTCATACAGATTATTTTTCCTGCTAATTTTAAACAGAAAGTCAATGATATGCTATTTGAATTCCAACCACCTTGCACGTTGCTTGCTGTATTTAGTTGTCTGCCACTTCTTTTATTTCCACACATGCTTCAAATAGAAACACTGATCAATTTTTACAGCCGTTACACTTTGCTTATTTGTCTTTGGGAAAAATGACAAACCTGCTCTTTTGTGAGTGCATATTGACTGCCAGAACAGGAAAAAACAAGAGGTTTTGTATAAGAACTTCTCACTTTGAAAATAAAATACCCACCTTCAATGACGGTACTTGATAGCCTTCATTTTAATGAGCATTATGATCCAACAGGATTGAATGGTTTTAACAAGGTAATGAAGTCTTGGTGCACTCACAGCATCTTCTAGCTGTCAGACATCTTCTATGCCACCTGCTGTAGTGGAAATGCTAAGTCACAGCCTGAAACAGTGATTGAACACCTGTTGGGAAGGCAGGGCCAACCCAGTGGAGCTCAGGTGCATGCAATGTACCTGAGAGACCAGAAGGGATGGAGCCAGGATCCAACCCTTCCCAGATCACATTTCAGTGTTGGCAGTAGAGACAAGGGCCTACCTGAGACTTTCTAAAGGAAAGCAGCTCTTTTCCTTCATTTCTTCATCTGGGGCTCCTGCATTTGGGCTCATTCTTATTTGCTGTAGCCAAAGACTTTGCTACCCTGCTATTATTGCAGTACTTTCTGTCCTAACATAGCATTACACGTGCTAATCCTGAAGGTCACAGACCCCAATTCCTGCATCATGACTGCCCCTGGTTATAGCACTCAGCAGCAGCCCTACCTGCATGTTTGGCTGAACAGGGTTTTGCTATCACTTCCTTGAGGTTTCATGTAAAGTACATGAGGAGAAAAAAATTTGTTAAAGCAAGTGAAGTAACAGGTGAAATTCAGCAGAATCCACATGGTGCAGTATTTGAAATATCAAGTGTTTCTCTCTGCCTGTAAGTTTTTAACTTCTTCCAGAGCTGCTGAGCAGAGGTTCCTGCACAAATTGCTGTAGCTGTGATAGAGGCAGCTGTCACATGGGCAGGGTGAGAATGCTTCCTGCAGGATGAGGTTACCCAGCTGATGTGTGGAAACCACCTAAGAGAGCTGGCAACATTGCACCTTCAGTGCCAGATGCTACTGCCTTTATATTGCCTCCAGATCTGCAGTTTTAGGTGAAAAAGGTGAAAAAAGAGCAATTCTGATTTCTCTTGTAGGTTACTGTGGCTGTAATTCTGTCTATAGCCTCATAATGCATTAGGAAACACAATTCCACAAGGAACCAAAGTCAGCTGAATGTAGGCTGTTTCGAAGAACACAATGCAATTGTCCCAGCACAGTAAATCAGTAGATAGAAACAAACACTGCTGGACAACTTAGAAAAACATGTTTTCTATTTATTTAAAAATAAGTTTGTAGTTACTACATTGCAGTGACAGTAATTCTTACACATACATTCTAGTTTGTATAAAAGGATTCAAAGTATTATGCATCAAAACTAACATAGAAAGTGTCCACATAACAGTAAAGAAATTTCCAATCCTTATGTACAAAAAGAAAGGGCACTGTTATCCTGGTGAGATACTTCAGGTTATAACATGATAATTCAGAGTTCTGGAAGGAAAAGAAAAAAACAACCAAACCCCTCGATAAAGCTAAGGAATTATAGTTTTTAAAACTGTTACTCATTACATACAACAGATGTGTTTTACATAATTCTGTACAAAATAAGTGTAATTTTTTTTTAATCTGAAAATGTGTCAGTTTCAAAATTAACCTTTCCCGGTAATTTCCTTAAAGTTGAGCTCAATTCTATACATATTTAAACATTATGACAGAATTTAATTCACTTGTGATTATTATCCAGTTGTCTGCCAGTTCTGCAGTTTTAGTATGGTCCAAAAATGTAACTTCTGTATGGTCTCAATGCATCAAACCAACACACGCAGTTGTAAGCACAGAACAGCACATGTACATCATACAGGCACGTGTACACGCCAGGTACTTATACATTTCTTTCTACTCCTAATTTTTATGACCTCATTCTTCTTCCAGGGTAGAAATTGATAGCACAATACTACCTTCCCTCTCTAAAATGTGTAATTCGCATTTGAAGTGAATTTCCTGATGTATTTATCTGCATTAAAAAGGATTCAAATGACTACTTGTCTCACTACCTCACCCCTAAAAGCTAAATGGTGGGAATAGCACTAATCTCCTTGATCTGCAATTTAAGAAGCCTTTTAAACCAGCCTTCCTGGGGAGTTTCCTTCTCCAGCAGGTTGTAAAATTACATGGCAAATTCCCACATAAGAATTAGCACAAGTGCCACAGTGCCTCGTGGTTAGCTGTAGTTCACCAGGCTACCTGCTATTTCCCCCAGACACAGTTGCAAGTGTACAAGCCATATTCCTGCCTCAAAAATAGGAAATCACATCGACCATCGTTACCAAATTTGTTATTGGAAACACATTGTCAGCTTTGGCCAAACTTATGGAATTGGATACACTTCAATCTGCATACGAACAAGCATTTATATACAATAATTTACAGCAGAAAACAAACAGCCCTTCTATCAGTTGCTTGCCTAAGTCCCCTTGGAAACCCATCTGTTACAATGACTTTGGGGGAAAAAGAGAAGACATGTAGGAATCTGTAAACAGAAAATGAGCTTTTGCTGTTTCTAGGTGATGTTTGAAAGCCCTCCACCACCACTGCCTCACAGCATTGCTGCAGAGATGCACTAATTTTTTTTTTTAAACATACAGCTGTATTTAAAAAAAAAGACAAATCTTTGAGTAACTACAGTGGACAAAAGACACTACCTTAGAATAAGGTAAGGACTTGGGACACAATGCAATTACTATGATACATCTGTATCTCGACTGACCAGCAGTAGGCTACAATTACCTCTGCAAGTTTCGCACGCTACAAATTAAATGCAAATGTTGATGAAAGTGAGCTTGAAATCCTCTAACCTCCCATGTAGCATTTAAGCACGGGGGAAAGGTCTCCAGTTAAGTCTACTGCTTTTATAGAACCAGCCAACCATTTAATGAGTGCCTAGATTGACATTACACATGAAAGCATGTACCTTTAGACCTCAGTCCAACGAAGGTGAGCAAAAGATTTAACAACATGGTGCAGAAATTCTAACAAGCTCAGAGTTACCAAATGGACTGACTGTTATTTTGTTGTATGTCTTGTTGCTCTGTTTCTATTTGTAAGGCAAAAGCCTCTGGCACAGAATCAGAATTGGTACTCAAATATTTGTACAGCAATACAGTGAGTAATTTGTCTCTACACTACAATTTTTTTTTTTAATAGATATTATATATCCTACGTGCTGCATCAGGGTCCTTTATCAATTAATAGTTTTACAAATATTAAGTCATAGAAATATTCAACTCAACCAACTCAATCTTACAAGTCTACCCACAAACTGATCACACGTACAAACCAGACACTGTACAAAGAAACATATGCAAATATATCACACGGCAGTCCAACCACTGGAGGAAGACATTTTTCTGTAGAGTCGTACCACTGTCATTGCTGAGTGACAATGAACTCCAGTCAGTATTGACATCAATGATCAATATACCAGTAAGATTTAAGTTCAGTTCCTGGATAACACGTTAACAACAGAAACAAAGTGGCAGAAGAGTTGTTAAATATGTAGGCACGAGTACAGTGATTTCTGTTAAACATTTAAAGCACACTGGTATCACAGAAACAGAAATTACTTCCTCATCCGCAGTCAAAAAACACACTGCTATTAAGATACCACTCAGTGGTCAATATCAATTGGAACGTTCCCCAGCATAGAGCAGAAATATCAGAACAGTATCTTCATATTCATGTAAATATAAATGAATGTACAAATGTAAGGGTGTTAATTGCTGCCAGGTCTGTAAGATCATTTGACCACATATGACTATAAACCTATCTAATATTTAAAATGCTGATGTGAAACGAGCACATGGGAATCTGATTTCTGAGTTGTTAGGTACTTGGGATGGCATTACAGAACATGCACATGGTTGCAAGTTCTTCATTATCAGAACAGTGATCAACAGTTTATTGCTCACATTTAAAAATTTAAAACTTAGCCATCAAAAGCTCCTTTTCTGTCTCGATACAGTATGTCACAGCCTCAAATAATACAATTTCTCCCAACCAAACGCAGTCTGATGGTGACTTAAGTCTCAAGTAGTTTGCAACCTACTGAAACTAAATTATAAAAATAAACGTTTTAAATCTGATATTAACTTCTAATTGTGTGTGCGTGTTAAAAGTTACCTAACTGATTCACAATTGATTTTAGAAGTTTTGAAAAAAATTGGTGTATCTAATATGAATTTAACTATATTGCCTAAGTCACCACTGTCACTGGGTGGGAAGAGTAGCCCTGTTCTGCAGGTAAGGCCTTCTATTCTCATAAAGTGAAGATGGATAATTTTCTACCTAGTGTTAAAGGGAACAGATATTATTTAAGTCTCCAAAACTTACATACAGGGTATTTCTGATATATAAATATATACATAAACATGCCATATAAAACATTATTACAAATGGAGTAAATACAGAAGTTGAATTTTAGATATAATCTATTTTGTATATTACAATGCAGATAACATCAGGAAATTACACGTTTTCAAATGATTGCCTTCATCAGTGAGAATTGACAAAATCAACAGGTGGAAGCAATTAGCTTTGAATTATGAAGCTGTACTGTAACTGAACAGCCACGGTTCATCCTACCACATGATCAGTGATGCCATTTTAATTGAATAATACAGACATGTTTCTTAAAAAATAGATGTAGAACAACAAACGAGATGTGAATTGATCCCTGTTCCCCAAATTAATAATCACAACAATTCAAAGAGGATCTGGAAGAATATTATAGTCTTTTTTTTTTTTTTTTTTGTAACAAAATGACTAATGAAATTACATTAAACTGAGCACGATGGATACCAGTTTGACATCCACAATAGCATATTTCCATTCCTCTTTGTGCCAGATATCAGTGTTCTTTGCTCAAATATTGATGCTTTCTTGTAACAGAAAATAAAGAGTGAGGAATTAGGCCCCAAATACGTATAGAGAAACTGTGCAAAATTAAAGGTTTTAATTCTGTATGCCCTCCCGGATATTGTCAATGTTGTTTGTTAAAGAAAAGTACTACTAATAAAAAGAATCATTATGAAGTAAGGGTGTACGGAATTGAGGTTTCATGTCAGGTTTATTTCTTCAGCTAAGTTAGGGTCACACAGAAATCTGTCACACCACCCAAAGTTCCAAAATAATGCATCGTCAGAAAAATTTGGTTACATTTTTGTACCATACCAGATTTCAGAAAATAGGACTACTTCCGTATTTGTTCCTTAACACTGGACAACATTTGCTTTGAAGGGATAGAAAATGGTATTAAAGTTTGTTTGTAAAGGTATAAAATAACTAAATGTACCATAAACAAATAAATAACTGCTCTTCTTTTCCATAGCAGTACATATAACAATACATTCCCCTAAGTCATATAGTTATCATTTACAATAGACAACTTAATTTTACTAAGGATGCAAGAAATAATAGAATACAAGGCACAATCATTAAATGGAATTTTTCTTTAGGGTGAATATTGACGTATGTCAGCGTGATATACCATAAAAAGTGCAGAAAAACGCAATGTGCAATGAGACCACTGTATAAAACATGATTGCATAAAAAGTGATTTGGCCTTTTTAACCTTAATAATTGAAAATAACCAATCTTCCCCTTAAAATTAAACTATAAAGTATGACATTTTAAAATTTATTTTCAATTCTAGTGCTATCTAAAAAATCCTGAAAAAAATTTATACCTGGGAAATATTTTATACGTATGTGTTTATGTATATATTAATATATACACATACACTCTTCTTTGTAGGTCATTTTAGCCTCTTAAGCATGTCTCAAGTTGTAGAAACAACAATCAATCTGGATCAGAAAGTAAACATCGTAATTCCATACCTGTCCTGTAATTTCCTTGAATCCTTTAACCAATTATACATTTTGTCTAAAACATCTCTGTCAAAGGACCCCACCAGTGCATTATTTTCTACCAAAAGTACCAAAAAGGATACAGTTCAGAACAATGTTAACAACTTACTATTTAAAACAATACACAGCTTTTTCACTGCAAGTTGTATGCTGTACTGACACTCAAAAAGAAAAAAAAAGGCTTTCCACTGCACTGATTTTCAGTCTTTGGCACAATAAACAGAGATTTAGTGATTGATACAAGAATCAAGGTCTGAAAAATTAGACATTAGTCAAACTTTTTCCAATGTGGATATATATATATATATATATATTTGTGATTACATTTTTGCTATGTTTGGCAGAACTTGGATAAACCAACAGCCTGTGGTAGGCTTCTTTTGCAGTTGAATGTTCCATCACTACTGAAATCAAGCATTTTCAGATTAGCAAAGTTTGGTATTTTTGTATTCGTATTTAATAGAAATGTAAGTGAATTTACTGCCACTTTTTGTGAAGATCTGCCTTCCTAGGCAACCTAACTTTACAATCAGAGTGTACTTTGCTTGGTCAAAAATAGATTTCTGTTTTCAGTTTGTGGCATTAGAAGTTCCATCACCTTTTTTTTTTTTTTTTTAAACTGTGTAGAGTACTACACACTACTCAAGTGGAGTAGTTCTCAACTCTGTATGTCAGTTGGAAACTGTTTTAATTATTCTCAACTATGAACAAAATGACTGTTGAAATGCATAACCTATTTGAAGGGCAATAAATAGCAAAAGTTTAAAATATATATTTCTTTCAAAGAACGTTCTTTCAGTTTGTTTTTTTTTGCTAGATCTTTCTCCCAAATCAGAACATATTCTTCTAGCCCATAATAGCAGCAGGGAAGCAGAAGTCTGTTCTGCTGTTCCTTAACTGTACCTGCTTCATAGCATTCTGAAGTAAAACACCTGGTAGAAGTTACCAACCAATTAAATTAGCTTTTGCTTTTTCAGTCAACTTTCGGACTCTGCCTCTGCTAGAAGTTCCAAAAGTTAAGGAGGTGTCTTCAAACAATAGCTGCCTTTGCTCTTCCTCAGAGTCATCTTCATTGTAAAAGGCTGTCCTCCTACCCTGGTTTCTAGTTCTCATGTGAGGTTCAGAATCTTTAAGCTCCTCAGACCCTTCTTCCATAGGCTCATCTATCTTTTTCCTCCTGCTTCTTGTTTGCATTTTAACGTTTGCAGGAACTAAAAGGTCCGAGCCTGATGGATGCGTCTTTATCTTTCTTTTTGGCTTTCTACCCCCACGGCCTTTTTTTTGTACCAAGTCTTCCTTCATATTATTTTCAGAAAGCGAATTGCATGCAGTAGAAGCAGAGGCTTCTTCTAGTACATCCTTTGTGGTCTGGACTGTATTTTGCTCTGCAACCTTTTGCTGTTCAACAATTTGTAGCTTTTTTGGTTTTCTGCCTCTTTTCTTGTGCACGACTTCACAAGTACTGTTATTAGCCTCAATCTTCGGTTTCCGTCCAGGGCCTCTTTTAACTGGAGGTTTTGAAGGCTGCCCTCCGTGTCCATTTACCTGAACGCTTCCTGATGCCAAAGCATTATTCTTGCAATCTGCTGTAAAGAACAAAATGAAACAAAACATAAGAGTATGGATGATGCAACAGATTTGCATTTATGTTTACTTCCTCGCTGCTTTAACAAAGCTATTAGTAAAATATCTGAATGAAGTATTAAGTAAGTATTAAACCCAAGTATAACTCAAGAGTTTCATATCAGTAGGCAACAATGACTAACTTCTGGCTGGTCTTAGCTCAAGGTAACTCGAGACAAAAAAAAAAAAAAAAAAAGGAGAAAAAATACGGAACAAAAAGAACAGAAGAACAGGTATGGTCTTTTTCTTGGCTGATGCAGAAGTAGTGACCAAAAATTTAACTTGTTATTTGTAACAGCAAAAAGTTGCTCTTTAAGCACTGCTGCTGCAAGTATATGGAATACCTCACAGCAGGTCATCTCTAGATAAATGAAAGTTCCTTGCAGCCCAAGCTATCATCTTTTGTAGTGATTTCATTAGACTAAACTTATTTCAGTAATATGTGAGGATAAGGTTAGAAATGTGTGAGACAGAAAAACAACAAAAAAAACCCATGCAATTTGCAAAGACATTTCATCAGGCAAATGTCAGAAGACAAGATATGAAGAACTGTATGAATTACGAGGTTTTCCTAGCTGAGTGGTACCGAACCCAATCATGCCACAGGACCTCTTACAGAGGTGCCCTGATACCAGAGCCCTTGCCTAAAACATGACCAAGAACAGATTCATAGTATGATGCACTCACTCCTTTGACTGAACAACTATGCACAGGTTCTGCAGTGTTCAAGTGCACCCCATAAAGCACTAGTAGAACAAGGGTCCATTTTCATGAATAGCTGTGCCACAGACACCTGGATTTTATGTGACCAATCCTCCGGTCATGTAACAGGCACACGTTCTGCCATGCAATATAGTAATAACTGAGGCCCTTGAGAGAAAGATAGCAAGGAACGGGACAGACTGTTTAAGTTATCAGACCACAGGTTGCTCCATGTTTGGAAACATGGAAAGAACAAACAGTCCTACAAAGAAGAGGATGATAGGCAGTAATCAAAGTAGGTGAGGTCCAATTTGCAGACTACTATTTTTCCTGAAGATGCAGAAAGAGATGCTCAGCAGATCTAGCTACTTTGGTAACAGTTTAACATTTCAAAGATTCTTCATAAGCAGGAGAGCTTTTACGTTAGGGAGATTAATTTCAGTCTCCACAGAAATGTTGAGCTTGAACATTTTTTGAGCATACTTTGAGCATGAAAAGACCACGCAACTACAGCCAGAAGATTACATGAAATTAAGTCCAATCAACCCATACACTCAACAAAAATAGCAAATGCTGCATAGCCCTGTCTTGCTGTGGCCCAAGAAAAAAAATGCAGCAGGGATGCTATCACATTTATGTTTATTGCAATGGAGAGCGACATCACCCTCAGCATTACTGACTCAAATAGAACCTAAATAAATAAATGTAGGTAAAGCCCACAGGGCTTCAAATACGACCATGCAAAAGTCTGCTTTGGAATTTGAGAACTTATAAGCTAATTGTAATACAATTAAAGCATTCCTCTTGAAATAACTTAAAAGCAGGTAAAGATAATTTAACATATCAAAATTGGCTAGACAACCATGGAAATGGTGCTGGGAGTAATCAAAGTTACGTTAATTATCAAGAAGAAAACTGTGATCAAATTATTCCATTAGACTTCCTTATTCTGCAAAATCATAACATATATTAATTATTCTACTTGTAAATTATAAAGTCTGAAGTGCAACTACAGCCATTACACAAGCAAAAAGGTGTATGGATGGGAAGTGATCCAAAGAAACTTCGTACCTTGTTGGTTAACAGCAGAGGATTTTACTTTGCGTTTGATTGGCTTCTCTTTCTCAGGATTTTCTTTTGTGGAGTTATTCCTAGTGTTATGACTGCTATCAGATTGGCTAGAGACTGGTAAAATATTCTGGTTCTTGGAATGTTTGGTTGAATTCTCCAGTACTAGAAGGATAAAAAGAAAAGAAACATATTTATAAAGAGTACTTGATACCATGTTCAATCTTACCCTAAGGCTAAAAAGGAAGTCACATATCCTACTACAAGAAAGCAACTTGAGTTGTAATCTAGGAGTGAAAAACATTTCCTGGATTAAATAACATACCTTAACCTGTTCAATTTTTTGCTGATGAACTTCAAGGCTTGAAAACAACACCAGTCTTAACTGAGACAAACACATCTGATTTTCCAAAAAGCAACTTTTATGTTTAGAAATATTCTCTGCATAAAAAAAAGCCAGCAGGAAAAGTAACTCCAGCAACTCACCTGACTTTCCTGACCCTGCAGTAGTATTAGGTTTTGTAATTAAAGGCTTTATTGTTAAAGGCTTTCCTCCCGAAGAAGTAGATGGTTGTTCTGTAGAAGCCACATCTGTTATCCCCCTATTGCTTCTAGTCCTTACAAGAGAGGAGGTTTCAGCTGCTTTTCCATTCATCTGAGGTGGGGCATGCCTCAGTGCTGTAGATCGCACAGGTATAGAAGATGAAGAGGAGGCAGAAGGTTCTCCCTTCAGCTGAGGTTTTATTAATCTCCTTTTCCTTTCAGGACTGCAAAAGAAGTAACGATTTGAAACCTGGATGATCACTTATGCTGTGCAGAAATACATAAAAATAAATACTAGTGTCTGAGACCACAGGAGAAATACAATCATCTCTGTATGAAGTTACAAATATGATGTTTGCTGAAGAAATTTCGTAGTTGTGAGCCTCTAAAAAGTCAATCTTTAATAAGGGATCACAATACACGCTGCAGGTATGACAAAACATGAAGCCATCACTACCCTCACGATACTGATTTATTGTACATGTTCAGCACTTACACCAGGACAGTTCTAGTTAAAGGTTTAAAACCTCCCACACCATAGCAACTTGCATTTCAAAGCTATCATTCTGCAACACAGGGAACAGTAAAGGAAGTATTAAGAAACCACCACACTAAATTCTACTATTTAGGTATGTCAAACATGCACAGCTTTTCACAAATTCTGTAAAGAAATGAACATACCTCGATGCAACGCTACTGGAAACTGAGCTGCTTCTGCTTCTTTTTTTCCTTCGTCTCTTTATTGTATTTCTTTTATGAAAGCGCAGGGCAGATTTATAATCTGATAAAATAGAACTTATATGTTCTTCAAAGAAAGCAGAAAGGCGTAAACTCATGCTGTAGATCTAAAAAAGAAAAAAGGCACTAAATGAGCAAGTTTTCGACTCTTCCAAAGCATCCATTTATTTAGATATCACAGTGCAATAGCTAGAAAAGGGTACAGACCAATATGGAAATGTTTTAAAGAAATATACAGTTTCTTGCAACACATCTACAGTAATCTAGTTTGCACTAACTGTTCTCACAGTTTGAAAAGTATATTATGACTGAAGATCACACACAAGCAAAAGGAAAATCTTGAAAAGCCATGTTTCCAGCTGTCACTTTCCAACTGCATTTTTAGAATGTGTTCCTTTCTATATTGTTCTTAGCTGAACATGAGCCAGCAGTGTGCCTGGGTGGCCAAGAAGGCCAGTGGCATCCTGGCTTGCATCAGGAACAGTGCCACCAGCAGGAACAGGGAAGTGATTGTACCTCTGTACTCAGCTCTGGTGAAGCTGCACCTCAAGTACCGTGTCCAGTTTTGGACCCCTCACTGCAAGAAAGACATTGAGGTCCTGGAGCGAGTTCAAAGAAGGGCAACAAAGCTGGTGAGGGGTCTGGAGCACAGGCCTTATGAGGAGCGGCTGAAGGAGCTGGGATTGTTATGTCTGGAGAAGAGGAGGCTCAGGGGAGACCTCATTGCTCTCTATAACTTCCTGAAGGGAGGCTGTACTGAGCTGGGGGTCGGCCTCTTCTCTTCTGTAACTAGTGATAGGACTAGAGGGAATGGCTTCAAGCTGCTCCAGGGGAGATTTAGGCTGGATGTTAGGAAATACTACTTTTCTGAAAGAATGGTCAGGCACTGGAATGGGCTGCCCGGGGAGGTGGTGGAGTCACCAACCCTGGAGGTGTTCAAGGAACATTTGGATTTTGTGTTGAGGGACATGGTTTAGTGAGTACTTTTGGTAATAGGTGGATGGTTGGACTGGATGATCTTGAAGGTCTTTTCCAACCTTGGTGATTCTGTGATATTCTGAAGAAACAATAGAGAAAGACTCCTCGTGGAATTTACTTGGTCATACACAGGATCAAGAAAACTAATTTTCTTCTGCATTATGTTGCACCTGTACATCCTAAATTTGAGCACCATTTTATTCCTCTTACAGACGAATTAGTACTACTGGTGAGTTGGTTGCAATAACAATTATAGATGAATTAGAACTATGTAGGCACACATTTTTTATTTTTTTTTCCCCTCTCTATTCTTGAATGGCTTACAGAGACAACCAAACTCACTTTAGATCACAACTAACTGATGGCACACAGTTGCTATTAATTCTGGAAACAGAAATTCATAAATGAACTGAATAAATACTTTCAGAAGGGACACAGAAAAGTCTTGAAATAGGAAACAAAAACAGTATTGCAACAGTTGCCTACCCCATGACATTCCAAATTATTTGAGTGCCAGACTAAACAGTGGAAGTGACAGATACTGAGAGCATTTCTGGAGAGGACATCCAAAGAACATGTGTAAAATATGTGAAAATATGTAAAAATTAGATGTGAATGCATGTCTGATGTGCCAAGAAAAAAAAAATCCAATGGATTTTACATTTACTCTTCAAGAAAAGCATCAGTGATGCAGAGTAAGATACTAAAAATATCACTGAATTGTAAGAGTGAGAATAAAAACACTGCCATGCCTATATCCAGAAGCACATAGATTCCAGAATAATAAAATACCTAACCACAAAACACTCCACGTTTGCTTCTAAGTAAAATAAAAAGGCTTAATTCTACTAACCTGGTCTGTTTGGAAGAACATGGAAAAGAATGTAACAATGTCAGAAGAACCACTGAAACCACACTGGAGCTTAAACAATGGCCAGAATTCTTCTATCTTGGCTTTAGCAGATAAAGTAAAATCATGACAGAACCTAGATCTAACCCAAAAGGCTTGCTCTTTGATACAACGACAGGAGAAGGGATTGATTTTTTCAGTCAGTTCAAACTGGGAGTGGAACTACTACTGACTGAAAAGAGAACAATCACTGATAAAGTCTTTCTAAGAACCCCCATTAAGACATTTGTTCACACACTTCATGATGATAAAGTCCTAATGATTAATATGCTGTTTAAAAGTCAGTCATGAAAGTTAGCCAAGACATCAAAACATATTATCAGAAGAAAAGCTACACAGTATGCTTGGACACGCTTAGGTAGCCTTCAACAAAAGCCACATTTGTACCTTTCACCTCCGACAAATAAATGCACCTATGAGTGAATTTGAGAGAAAATGTTAAGAATTCTCTGAGCAGAAAGATATTTCAGTACCAGCTTAGTAACAGCAGCTTTGTAGGCTCAATCTTGTGCAAGATTTTTGGGAAACAGAACTGTTTAAGTGCCTTTTCACTATCTCACCACAACCTAGTGAACATCAGAATTCTCTGCTCTTGTGATATTTCAGTTTTGGACAACTTCAGAAGTGGAGGAAGTTATGGGTACGTATATGTTCACATCTGTATGCACAATGAAAATCCTGTTTCTTCACCAAAATATCAGTTACACACTACTACTGTACACACAGTCACATTTCTACAATCTTTCTTTCAGTATGGAAATATGGAAATATTTTGAAACAAACTTGCAGAATATCAGAAGTACAGACACTTAAACAGCAAACTTTCTTTCAAAGTACAAGGTTGCACTACCTTCTCAGAAATATTCATTTTTGAAAATCAGAAATAACTAAATTGATTACTGTAAAAAAAAATCTCATTTCTGATTTTCTGCCCTGCTAGATTTTTCTAAAACAATAAATATGCTTAAATAAATAAATAAATAAAATCTTACCCTTGATCTTTTACTTGGTGTGTAGGCTTTTGAATTGCTGAAAATAAGTCTCACATCTTTACACAATTCCATTGGTGACTCATAGTTACCAGCTTCCAGTGTTTCTCTAACAGTAGCAAAATCCATAGGTGTGTCAATAATATCTCTGTAATCCTGTTAAAAAACAGCAAAGCATTATAAATTTTTTTTCAAGCCTCAATATATAATTTTGATTTGAATGAATTTGATACATCTGCTAAAGTCTCACATTGTTTTCACATGCTAGCATTAAAATACGCAGCTTGAATATTTTAATCTGATGACAGTCTTAGTGCATTTCTGCTGAAACCTGAGCAGTCTCCTAGATGGAGATTTGACAGTTTAAGAAAGTTAATACTGAAATAACAAAAACTGCATAGACCCTGTTCAAACCAATCATAGAATTTTTACTAGGCTACAGAAGAAACAAGAGAACGGTCATATGATAAGAAGCTCAAATACCCACATGATGTTGAATTAAACCATCAGAATGTGTGCAACCTGTACAAGTAACTGAATGTAAAAAGCTAGGGAGGAGAGCATTTCATGCTCAAACCTAGTAAGGTGCTTCTTATCAACTCATTCAAGAATCTGAATCACAAAGGCTGGCTACTCGTAGTTAGCCATGGCACAAAGTTAAAGTTTCTTCAAAAATTATGGTGTACAGAGCACCAAAACTACAGTGAATTAATGTTCCCAGAGCATCAAGACCAACCTAACCACTGACTTCTGAAGAGAATCCTCTCTTTTTTTCTAATTGAGACAAATGATTTCTCCCAGAGATTCTTTAGAGAAGGAAGAAAGAGATCCAAGACAACAAGACTTTTGTGTTAAAACATTCAGTTTTTACAACTGGCTGCTCACAGCTATTTTCATTCCAATGAAATCATCCAGGCAGAAAGTTGTTATTGTTATTACAGTTAATATTCCACTACAGTGCTTCAAAGGGTACTTTTTCCGCAACAGTCTTGATGACTGTGATATGAAAATTACTCTTAGTTTGTATACTTCTGAAATGAAAACAAAAATGTGCCACAGTAATATCTGTCACAACAAGCAACTAAACACATTCACTTCATATGTGACCATTTTTCACCCAGGAAAGGATACAGGCATCTTAATCTCAAAAGCTGTGTACTTAATAACAGTCATCTCTTCTAAAAGAGCAGAGATGTAAAATTTATTTTGAAATTAAAGAGATAATAAACATTATTATCAAGCGACAATCAAGCACTGATAGAAAAGCTCTGTCAATAACACTGCCTGAAGTTTCAATTAAATGAGGTGAAAGAATGGTCACAGTTGAAAGAGACCTAACAATGGTATTATAATCAATCTTGCTGTTCTCAAACACTCACTGGATATTCAAGGAGATCCACTGGCTGCCGAAATGGTTCAGAGTCTTCACACTGAAAAATGAGATTCAGCAGCTCCTCGCACTGCTTCTTCCATGATTGAATGTCATATGACTGGGCTCTATTACGTAGCCGCCTCTTTGGCTGATGATCCTGAAATGACAATATTGTCTGGTATTTAATCAATAAACCATCTCTCTTTTTACAAAATCAAATGTAAAGGGTACCCTACAGGACACAAATTCTAATTAATTAATTAGTAACGTGCAACAGAATCACAGAACTGTAGCAGTTGGAAGGGACCTCCAGAGATCATAGAGTCCAACACCAAACAGCCCATGCAGAAATTCTTTTATACTGGACAACTCAGGAGAGTAACTCAGCTTCAGTCACAATAAATTCTAAACTTTCCTAAAGATGAGATTACACAATTAAAGACATACAATTTAAAATCCAATGTTTACAAAGGCATTTCATATTATTTGATGAACTATAAACAACAAAATATGATTTTACCTTTCTTTTTCTAGTGGAAGTTCCTGGCACATTTGTATCTTTCTCTTCTTCCTTTGAGCAAGATAATGAGTTGCATAAAAATGTTAAAAAAAATATAAGCATAGATGAGTAGGTAAATTCTGTCATATTTCATCTTGTAATTTGAGTCTTAACAATTCTATCTGTGTCTCTCTAGAAAGCATTTCGTGTGACCATCAGTTTTGAGAATCTCTCAGAAGTCTAAGAAAAAACTCTTTGCACTACAGGAAGAGAAGAAGCTGGATTTTTACCAGTTTCTTGTTAGCTGGGAAACATCTCATTGGCAATAAACCCTACTCTATAACAGTGACTGAACAAAGTACTTTTCCATCCAGTGAGAAAGATGCTTCAGTCTCATTTGTCCCATCTAGCAATGCCAACATCCAAGACGCAACCACTTACCTCATCAGAGTCAGACAACACTTTCTTCTTCATTGCATTGTATAATAGAATGATGTCATAGCAACTCTGGTCTCTGTACAAAAAGAAATACATGCTAGCTTTATTTTCTGTCTTCATCTATGGAATCAACTGTATTTTGCATAGAGTAAGGACAATATTTATTAAGTCATACTTAAATGAAGTGATGAAGTGTTTAGTGCCTTAGAAATACTTAGAGGACCACATTAATAAGAAAAGCTAATCTACTGCTCAAAAGCTGCAGAATATTTTCTATATTCCATAAAATACAGAATGCTTAACAGTGACATTTCAAAATGAAAAACCATAATCCCTTACCATGAGCTTATTAGCATTAGGAAAATCTATTATACCTCATAAAGGGCTTTGGAGCTTTATAAGAAACATTTTATATGTGTTTCTGGTTCACTTAAATGAGTATATTAATTGGCACAAGCTATAGTCCATTATTAAATAAGAATATTCATGCGTTGCAGTAATTTAGGTAAGTCAATTAAAAACACACACTTTTAATAACACCAGTGTGCTTAATTAATCAAAGAAAAAGCAGCTATGTGGGATAAAGACATTAAAGAACCAAAATTATTAACAGTGCAGCCTTTCAGGTGTGTGTCTGTTCCTAAAGGTGGGTTTGACTAAAACTTTAACATCTGAAGCAGGTAAGTATTTTTCACTGTTTTTGCCAGTGTCTGAAATCAAAACTCAGAGATTTATGCGTGGTTACAGAAGTCTTAGATTTTCAAGTAAGTAATGTAATTCTAATGTTTTTAAAAGCAAATACTAACACTGTTCAACTAACGAAGCATCTTGCCATTTTAACTATGTAAAAGCAGATGCATTCATTGCCTACAAGCAAACCAGGACAGTGGGCATAATAAGCTCTAGCAAACTTTAGATTGCAGACAGTCACAAAAAACGTTTGAGGCTGTTTCTATTGACTGCAGTGCCTCCAATTTTTATTCTGTACACCAACTATCACTTTCAGGCACATTCAGCTGTAAAGATTTTAGAATTAGGTTCCCAGTTACACTAAGAATAGCAGTAATAAAATTAAATATATCCATCATTCCACAGATACACAGACCCACGTTTATTATTCAGTAAAAAGTCTCCAGTCAATGTATTATAAAACTTCATCTTGTTTTGCAACCTAATGTCCTCTTGTTTTGTCAACACAAACTTCCTTTTTTTCTGCCCTGGCAGTGGACGACTGGCTTATTGAAGCTACAGAACCACCTCTTTGTAATTTATATTTCAAAGAGCTAAGACCTTGGTGAGAAACTCACTTTATGAAGTGTAGCAGAAGATCTGTGACAAATTTGGCAGACTTGACAATAGGACTTCCAGGCTCATTAAATGTGCGAGTATTATGTTCTATGTATCGGACTTCCCACATTAATGAAGAAAGTCGTCTGTGCAAGAGAGAGGAGTCAACAACAAGGAAAAAAACAGTATCAAACAGACTACATTTCTAAGCCTCATATTCTTCTTCCTGTTCATTATTTGACAAGTGTATTATCCTGTTCATTTTTTGACATTAAATTAGAAAACATATATGCTCTGACACATTACCCTACATGACCAGCAGAAGGAAGCTTCCTCAGGCTTCTTGTCCTCCCATGTCCTGACATTATACAGATAGCTTGCACTCCCCAGAAAGATTCACTTATAATGCTTTAGCTATTACTAATCTTTTATAATATAAATAACCCAGCATGTATCATTTCTTAAGTCACAGTTGAGAATTACCAAAATCATAATGATGAAAATGTATTAGAATAAGATGTGTACTTTTAATAAGTGGCAATGATCAGAATTCCTCACGTAGGTCTGATTTAGTTACTTGACTAAAGAATAGTCACAATATTGTGACTATATATATATATATACACACACACACAAACGTATAATCACAGAAGCAAAATAAGTGTGTGTGTATCCCTAAGGGCAGACCTCATGAAAAGCTACTGAAGACATCAGAAGCAATCTGAACTGCCATTCCTCCACAAATTAAAGGAAAATAATTGACTGGAATACACAAGGCAATAATCACTAGCTAACCAAACCCAGACAATCCTACAAACTAGTAAAAACCAAATTACTGAAGAAGCTATGCCAATGACCAAAAATAACTGACACTTTTGACGAAAGGAAACACACCCAAGTGACTGAAAACTCCTTGCCGCTGCTGATGATGTGGCAGTACATTAGAAAAGCCAAAACTAGATTATCATGCAATTAACATGGAACCAGATGTATGTGCATTATGGCATTATAAAATATAAAACCTAGGCACCCTTTAAAAAATGAAAATGTGATTTCCATTTATAGTACTATCTCAAGTCAGTAAATGTGAAGTTCTATGAACTAATATTGAAATTTTGCCCAAATCAACATGCTGTAGAATCAGAGAAATGCTTGAGTTGGAAGGGACCCTTAAAGATCAGCTTGTCCGGCTTCCCTGCAATGAACAGAGATACCTACAGCTACATAAGGGTGCTCAGAGCCCTGTCCAGCCTTGGATGCCTCCAGAGATGGGGCATCCACCACCTCTCTGGGCAACCTGTTTCAGAGCAGAGCCTCACCACTCTTACTGTAAAAAAGCTTTTTCCTTATATGCTATCTAAATCTCCTCTCCTTTTAGCTCAGAACCATTTCCCCCTTGTCCTGCTCAGATGAATTCAACAAAAGCATTAGAAGGAGACTCAATTGCAAATCATAAATTTTCCAAGACAAAATCGCAAAAAGTAGTATTTTAAAGGAATGTGCTCCTTAAAGAATAATATTTTTTCTGCACATAAAATACAATGATTGCAATCACAGTTTAGGGAAGTAGTCAAAATCGCATAAAAAAGGTTAAAAATTACTTTTGTTGCTGCCCAACCATTTCGAATTTCAGGGCCAACAATTTAAGAAACTATGTTTCATTTCATGTCTTAACACGATAATGCAAGATTTAAAATCAAACAAACAGAAGTACATTATATACCTATAAACACTTTACAGGTGTCTAATGTTTCTCCCATTAAAAAAATATCAGAAGCAAACTTAATTTACTTTGCAATACTTTTCAAATCTCACATGACATAAACAAGAATTGACATCACATAATTGTAAAATGCATTTTGGTCAAGAGATGTTCAATCCCTTTAGAAAAGAAGATTAGACAAACAGAAAAGCACACCTGTGCACATTTCTAAATTGGCTATCACAAGATAACAGCTACCAAAACCACTGTTGCCAATTTTTCACAGCAGTAACTGAGACTTGGATCTAACCTGTAAAATTTGCTTTCCAGCCTTTGTTTAATGGTACTCAGGTCTGTGGGATATGCCACAACAGTGCAATACATTGGGTAAGCTTGAAGATCCACAGGGGCCACAAATGCAGATGCGATATCTACACAGAAATCAAAATAAATCCGAGTTACACACCACAAAAACAATTAGAGTTCCAAGAATTTCAAAGTTTCTTCCTGCAGCATATGCTATTTTTTCATGCTTGAAACACATGGCAGTTACCCAAAATCAACAGTAATAACCACGCTAGACACTCTGAACAATTTGTAGTATTTTACGTACAAAATGTTTGCTCACATGTATGCTGCTAGTACAAGTGCTGTATTGCATACCCATCCTATTGTGCATGAAGCACCATGCTCTTCAATGACACAGCAAGTGAATGCAAAATAAACACATTTGAAAAGTAAATTTTAACATATAAATTACACATAAGAGGATATGCAATTCAGAATTATTATTTACAAGACACATTCATTCCATTTAGTTTTATATTGCCACTCTCTCATCTTCAAACAAAACAACTCATTAAATTCTCACCATAAAAGCCATAGTAGTATTTTGATCTCATTAAGATATGGAGAAAAGCCATTTTCAATATAAAACAGAAATACAATTCTCCTGTCTTGACCAAATAGCAAAGAAGCTATTTCACACCGATCCACCATAAAGCCAAAGACCACTGGGCAATTTAAGTCTATGCACCCGGCACAAATTTTGTTTGTTCTTCCTCCTCCCCCCACGCTTAAGGCATCATGTCTGTTTAGACATCATTCTAACATTTGAAACACAAAGGAAAATAAAAGAGAAAAGGAAATAACACCTTTAAAGTACCTCTCCAATGTTTTCAAAAACAGAAACTCTCTTCTTCTAAAAGCTGTTAACCTTTGCTCGTAAACATTTGAGCAACAGCTACTTTGGACCAATATGCACCACAAAGGCTATAGTTAAATCCCAAACTAAGTAGTATGCCATACAAAAAATGAAAAATGTGAAACTATTTCTCTGATGAACATACACAGTGAAAACAATCAAAACTTCCTTTCCTCAAAATTTTTAAATATCATTCTGTAATTTGGATTAGTGTATTACATAAAAATTTTATTTCTTTTGGAAGCAAAAGGAAGCTTCTTATAAAACCAAAAGGAGTTGTAATGTAGGATACTAAAGAGTCAGAACTATTTCAAAAGTTAGTAGTTTTCTAGGATTTTTGAACATAAGTAATTCAAAATCAGAACTGTCTTTGGCAAGCTATATATATGGAATTCATGACCATTATTACCCAAAGATCTGAGACTGCTGACTTACCACAGAGTATACAAGGAATTGTGATTTAACCAGTATTTTACTGATATATCTCCAGCTCACACACTCATCTTTCTTTGATCATGAAAATGTTGCAGTGATGTGTTTAGTGTTTTAACAATTACCTTTTCAAAAAGCTGCCTTCTACTTCTAAAGAGTAATTGTTCTACATCCAAATAGCAAGTGGCTTTTCATAAGTTAATCAATTACTTTATCCTCAATGTTTGCTTTTACAGAACTTCTCTTCTGTTTGTTTTTTTTTTTCAGACACAACTAAGATTATGTGGGGGAGAAAAGTGGAGTTAAAACAAGGCTAGCACAGGAGAAAACTAGACAAAGGAATCCATTCCCTAAATATATATGATTTTTTCTGTCTACCTGTAGTACAGTTAATATTCTGTGCAACATAAGGCTGGCACTTCTAAGCCTAGTAAGTAATTTGAGTAGCTAACATCAAAAATCAAACACTTGTTTTTACCATGCAAGACCCAACCCCCCTCACATATGTCAAGGTACAAAATAATAACAATAATAATAATAATAATAATAATAATAATAATTACCTTTTAAAAGAAAGTTCAGGTTTTTGTATATACTCACGATATGAAAATTTAAAATGTGCAATGATAAAGTTCTGTTCCATTTAATCATATAGAAGGTGTATTATTATTAGCAACATTAGCAGTTACTGATTTTTCTAATTTCAGAAGTACACATGAGCACAGGTACAAAACATAATACAAAAACACTTTCTATAATATTCAAGACATACCTAGAGTCATGAGTTGGTTTATGCCTGCAATAATTCTGTCACACTCCTGGTCTCGTGTCCTGGAGCCCCACTCTCCATCCAGAGGTTTATAGAGCAGTGTTCTGCGCTCTTCATCTGTTAAAGGAACACTAGTTCCCAGTTCTTCTGGAAATACAGCTAGAATGTAACATGAAAATTCAATGAAATACTCATCTTTGTACCTCAGAAAATACATGAATCTCCTCAACTAGGAAAAATTAATTCAAAATGTAGATCATCATTCCACTAATCAAGACAAACATCATTTTTGTATTAAAAATGTTTTGAGCAAATCATTCAGTATCGTTTCTATTGTTGTATTTTAAATTTAAATATTTATGATGCAATTTGCTGTGCAAATACTTTATCAAACTAGATTTAATGCCTTCCAAATAGCTAACTGCAGAATTTATTTTACAACCAATTAGGGTAAACTTTTATCATAATTAAAGTTTATGTTTGTTTCTTAAAACCCCAAATTCTTGGCAATGAAGCCAGGATTTGTAGTGGATGATTTTCAGACAGAGCTTAAGATGTTTGATGTTAGACACTGAAACAGTCTCCATGGAGGGATTCAACCCTGTCAATTTTCTCAAGTCAGTTAATAATACTATTTAGACTCAAGCCTAATACTATTCTGAGCAAGCAAAATGAGGTGCCATCAGTCTGACATTCTTAATGATCTACCAACTTTGACAACCCATAATGTAACAGGTAGCTTTTCAGAGAACAATGCACACTGCTCTTCTTTAACTTTTTTTTTTTTTTTTTTTTTTAAAAAAAGTTATAACACAAGACAGCATTTGTGGATGCAGTACAGATACAAATTCAGATTCAGTTATCTGCTTGCTATAGTTATTTACTCTGGTCATATTATTACTCTTGATTTTGACTCATTTATAAGAAGCACCAACTAAAATGAAATGAAATAAAAAAGTAGAAATGAAACAGGTACAGCTTGGAAGAATGAAGAATTACGCATGGTTACTTGTGGATGACAAAATTAACAAAAGTTTCCCGTAAAATAGAAAGACAAAATGCTGATTTTGCTTTGTTTTTTAGCCAGATTTTAATAAAATCATCAAAACATTTGAGTAAAGAAGAAATGCAATATTCTGTCCTTGGCCTGTGAACAGTGCCTCTGCTGTACTGCACACTCTGTTGCATGTTTATCTGCCACAAGTTCTGGATCAAACAGGCAGCAAAGCCTACTATTATCGAATGCTCTCACTGGCACATGTTGAGACTTCAATGCACAGAACACCTGCAAGCATGCCAAGAGTTCTGAGAATAGGTAGCTTAAAGCCGACATGGGGCACAGGCTTATCTTCAAACCTCTCTAAATGCATAACAATTTAACTGCAATGGCACACTGCCTACTAGGAGTTTTTGTAACGTTTCTGGCTATTTCTATACACTTTGTTTAAGCCTGCTTTTTTCCTAAGGGAAAGGTGTCAGTCCATTCATCTTGATCCATATTTAGTTTGACAATTACCAATGTTCTTTAAATGCACTCCTTAAGAGGTGAAATTGTACAACGTTTTTTACTTCTTTATATACACTCTTAAAGGAAAGTGAATTATTAATGTACCATACCATTAGTTGGTATCAGCTCCATGTCCCAAGGACTCATCTTCTCAGTATCTCCATTATCCCAGCTTAAAAAATAACCACATTTAAATTACTAATATTGCTTAAAGTAATTTAATGTTTGTAACATAACTTATTTAGATTTAAAAGACTATTGTAATAAACTGGTACAGTGAGATGCATGACTGAATTTAATGAGAGGAAGTTGCTCAGTCAATACGTCAAATGAAATATTTAATTATAATAGATTGAAGGTAAGTTTGCTAACCAGACATTGTAGCACTGAAATAAGCTATCGGGATAATCAGGCTGAAGGGGTTCCTGGCTTTCAATTGTTCCAAACCACCAGGCATCATCTATTACTGATCTGAAGCGGTCACCTAGGTAAGAGCACAAAATAATTTCATCAATATAGGGCACCTTACTCTTATGAAGAAAATCGGTTTACAGATACCTTCAGCTTGCTCTTGAATAGAGATCCCTTTAAATGCTTGCAGCATGAACAGAAATACAAATCACATTATTTAAAGAAACAAATGAAAAAAACAATCACAATGAAACTCTTTAATTCTTTCTGAAGGTTACCTTTACATTGAAAAGGAGCAGTTAAGAATGGGCACAAATAAAAACAGTCAATGGCTTACAAATATAATTCCATGACCCTTATATATGAATTTATTTCTTAATTTCGTACAAAACTAGGACATTGCAATGTTGCACCTTTAAGACTAAAATCTACTTGCATTAAATGCCACATGCTATCTTAAAATAACTGTGCACTGACACATCTGTACAGGGAATACTTTTACATGCTGCTGAGCAAATTCTCCTTGGTTTCTGAAGTGTTTTTCAGCTACGTGTATAAACAATTTCCAACTGCAAATCAGAGGTTCATTTCCTTTATTCTGCAGGCAATCTGACTGATAGAATTTAATTTATTAAAGATTCCTCAAAAGGTTTGCAGTCATTTATGATGACTTGAAATGGTTCACTATTGCAATGCAATTGTAGAGCTAAGCAAAAAGGTCAGAAGCATTATTTAAAGAATTACACATCAGAATACAAGGAACATGTCATTGTAATTTTTAACACTTTCCATAAAACCTGCCACAGAAATTAGAAACAATTTTAGTGAAGCACTTACTTCACTCAATCCAAGAACAAAGATCATTTAAATTTTCTGAGATTCCAAGAACTGTACACTCTTGTTTTCAAGAGATTTGAAAACTATGCACACCACTTTCTAACCTTCAATGTTTTTTTCCTCCTCCAACAAATTCACATAAAGGAAATAGCCCACAACCTTTTGCTCAAACACTTGCTGCAGTTGCCTGAATTATTAACGACTACATATATTCTCAAGACATTCTGCTTTCTTTGCTGCACTTCTTTTTTTAAATGGATTGCAAGTATACATATCAAATACAAAACTTCCATTCATTGTGATGAAAGTAACAGAACAAAGTAATTCATACCAGCAAAATCTGAAATGCAATATCCGAAATGAAAATAAGGGTTGACACTGTATTCTACAGGAATAGAGTAGCCTGAAGAGCTCTCACAGAACAGTCTCCCTACATGGCATTCCCCAGTGATCAGTTTTAGAAAGACATGAGTAAGTATGATTGTGAGAGCCTTCGTGATGCTAAGCATTAAGCAATTCAAAACCACATAAAGGAATATATACCAGCTGTCTCTTTGCATTTTTTCAAAAGCCACAGCATTCCTATGGACAGAATGCTAAGGTAAGAAGAGCACGTAATTGAAAATGCTCACAGACGGATCCCTTCGACCATTATTTTGCCCTCTGTGTGATCTCATCTGTGGGATACAAGGAAACTATCTATGAAGACATGAAATCAAAAATTCTTATTAAAAGAGAGATTTAATATAATTTTCCAAAACTGAATATCACCAGATAATGTCAGCTTGGTGGAATTATAAAATATATGCTAAACTTACAGTGGCTGCTGTCCAAGAGGTATGTATGCGTACCTGTCTTAGATGAATAGCAAATGCTCAAGGAATCCTATCAGAATGTTTAAGCTCAAATATTAGTATTCTAGTTCAACAGAAGACAATGAGATGCAATAAATACATACCTGAGTACAAAGAAAAACTATCACTCCTCAACCTCTATAAGTGTATCTTAAGGACTGATACACTTAAATCACAGGAACTCTTGGTATTAAATATATAAATAATGTATATAAAGGAAATATTCTTCCTTTTCACCACCACCACAAAAAATCTCAAACATAACAAAAAAACACAACCCACTATCTACAATCACTACTGGTTAAGAAATAAAATGTTTTAATGACTTAGAATGAAGCCAGAATATTTAATATTCGGTGATCCTTCTAACAGTAGCTATAAAAATATTCATCTGTAGGCTAAGAGACAGAAATCATAGCGAAATAAGAAATGACAGTAATGGTACTCCTGAGAGGTCAAACTAGCATCTGTTCAGAACATTTTAATATTGTGTTCTACACTGTAACAAAATACTGCAGTGTTTGTTCTAACTACATTAAGGATGCACTTGGAAAATACCTATAGTGTCAAGAAGAGACCAGAGTAGCACTTTAGAAGACTCCTGGAAGAGCTGTAACAATTTTAGCATCAGTGCCTTCCCTACCCCTGCTTTAGTGTTTCATATAGTCTCACAAAAGGAGACTATTTTAACACTATTCTTACCACCCAGAAGAGGAACTGAACAATGAACCCTGAAATGCAGTTGTCAGAGTTGTGAACTTGTATTAACCAGTAACAACTTGAGACTTACATTATTTGCCCAGAAATCTTGACAAAAGATTCTGAAGCTTAGAAAAAATACTTTTTGTGTAGACGTGAATCTTTCACATCTTCAGGTTTCTCAAAATATAATTGTGAGCCTAGGGAGGAAATGCTACATGTCCTCATAGCCTTGAGCATAAAAAGGCTAACAGCTTAAACTACCTCTAGATTTGTCACTTACTTCTATCTAGGCTGTATATATATGAGGCATGGCAGTCATTCTTTAACTGCTGCCACAATCTTGTGGAAACACATTTATAGCGTGGCAAAGGAGAAGACCACTGATTAACACCTATCAAGAAACAGCAAAGCTTGGTGACATTTTAGTAGATGTTGACCAAGCTTGTCTCCTAAGGGATCTTCATACTATATTAATCTTTAATGAGGAAATCAAGGTATATTTTCCTAACGATTTAGAACCTATGGGTTTTCACCATATTCCTAGATTTGAAGACTAGCTGTCCTCTTGAAGAAGATCACAATGTGTGATAGGATAAGGAACTTTATTAATATGGCATGACGTAAGTTATATTTATATATGCTATTGGCTTTCTTGGCTTCCTGGGCACACTGCTGGCTCATATTCAGCTGATCGTCAACCAACACCCGCAGGTTCATTTCTTCCACACAGTCTTCTATAGCCACTAATGGCCAATGGCATCTTGGCTTGTATCAGAAATAGTGTTACCAAGGATGTGACTATCCCTCTGTACTCAGCACTGGTGAGGCTGCACCTCAAGTACTGTGTTCAGTTTCTGGCCCCTCACTACAAGAAAGACATTGAAGCTCTGGAGCTTGTCCAGAGTAGAGCAACAAAGCTGGTGAAGGGACAGAATCACAAGTCTTATGAAGAGCAGATGAGGGAACTGGGATCGTTGAGAGTCCTCTTGTCCAGACTAAAAGGACACCTTATCACTCTCTGCAACAACCTGAAAGGAGGTTGTGCTGAGGTGGGTGGGGATCAACCTCTTCTCTCATGTAAATCATGACAGGACTAGAGGGAATGGCCTCAAGTTGTGACAGGGGAGATTCAGGTTGGATGTTCAGAACATTTTTTTCTCAGGGAGATGGTGGATTCACTGTCCCTGGAAGTGTCCAAGAAATATTTAGATGTTGTACTAAAGGGAAATATTGAGGGAAGGTGGATGGTTGGACTGGATAATCTTGGGAGTCTTTTCTAACCTTCATGATTCTGTGATTCTATATATTACTAATGCACGCACATACTCAACAAGGATGTCATAATTTATGAAGGACAGGATACCAATTCACCTCTCCTGGCAGAAAAATCAGGTAAGAAACAATTAGAAAACTTCTGACATTCAGCTGTTCCACTTGTTCAGGTTACTTAGCTACAATGAACTTAGGAGAGGACATCAAAAAGGAAATAGTGAACTAAAAATGCAGCGTATTTGGAGAAACATGTACCATACCAACTGCTACTGAACAGGTAATCAGATGTATAATCATGTTGTTGCATTAAAATCTTCCCTTCTTTTATACAATGCTTTGCCTAAAGCAGTAAAAAATATATATATAAAATAAAATAATGCCACAGATCTGTATATGCTACTCACAGCTCCTGAACAGAAGAACTGCAGGAATTCAATCTGTATGCCATTAGTGCTAGTTTACAAAACTCTGAGAGTTGGTTAAATATTATACCTATAAATATGTTGTCTTATAATTCTCAAAACATGGTATCAAAACAAAATTTATCCCTTAGGGGAAGAGTTCATCCTGAACTCTGAAGAATCAGTCATACTTGCTCAATCTTTCAAGTTCAGGGACAATCTAACAATGTTCTTAGGAATAAGAATATGTTTATTTCAAGACCTCCTGAAAGAAAACAGAGAAACGTTTTGTCATAACTTAGATCTCTCCTCCTTGTTTGATTTCATTGTTAAAAGGTGATCTTTGCTGTTGCACAGAAAAGTCGACTAAGAAGTAGATCTGACTGGAATACAAGCCTATAACAAACACTCTTCAGTATCCAGCACTTTACCCAAACAAGTAAAAAGAGATGGAAAGGGCATTTTGTTTGAACAATCTAGAGATCATAAATTTCAAATGGTTGAAAAAGTGTTTCTGTATTTCCAGAAATAAGCAAATCTGAAAGAACTGGAAAAAAAAATATTCTAGTAATAATTAGGCTGAAAAATAGAGAGAAAGGCAGTGCATGGGATAAAAGATGTCAGTTACCAATAAATATTGTTTTTCTGAAAGGGTATTTTTCATTCCTCCCTGTAAACACACAGCTGAGATTTTCCTTGCACCTTCGTTCACAAATCAACTTCAGTATTCTGTCTGCTTGCCTGTTGCTTCAGTCAAGGACAAAGTGAGACTCATATGCAAATATAGCCAGAGCTTATTCTCCAATTCCAGTTGGAATAATATAAGGATTTATTTACCACAACCTATCTTTAATTTCGTTATAATGAAAATACAGAGATGTGAAAACAATCAAAAAGACCTAGAAACCCCACTTAACTTACCTATATTCCATCGTCTGTGTTTTGCATCATCAAATTGCTGCCTCAAAACTAGGAAGTCTATGACATCTGGCATGTCATGGTACCTAAATACAATAGAACACACGACTGATAAGTAATACAAAAAATATGAAATAAGGCACTTATGTAATAATTCAACACTTTGACTTCAAACCTTCAAAAACTACAGTTCTAGTCACTGATTTTCAGAACAATCCAGAACTACAGAAAAAAAAAAAAGCAGCTCCAATTTGAATACAACATTGCTTTTCTTACTTCATGGTGAATGATCCTCCAGTTAGTTTACCCGTATCAGGGTCAAGAAAAGCTAGTTTAAGACAGCAGAGAGTAGGCAATCCCACTTCATACTTAATCCCAACTATTTTCATCAATTCTTGCTCCTAGAATAAACCAAATGCTATGTTAGTTATCTTTAACTTCACTGGTGGTACATCTTTCTGAAACATTACAATATGAATGTACTGAAATTAGCAGATTTTCACCAGCACATGCCAAAAAAATCAAGTATTTAATTCTGTATTGTTTGGAATATATTTTGCTGTGAGATAAGTGAAGTAAAAATAAAATCAGACTAATTGATTTTTGCTCAAATTATTCAAGGAAGAAGTACAATTTAAGGTATGATTTTATTTGGCTTTTAGGTTAAATTTTTCCCCTTACATATATCTTAAGAACCAATATTAAGAACATCTGTGTCAACAATCTTCTTCCATTTAGTTTCCAAAATTCCTTTTTATATTAAGATTTTTATATTAAGATACCAAAGAAAAATGAAAAAGAAATCGTACCCGTAATTCCATTTTATGCCATGGTTGTTTTTTGGGATTAATACTATATATTTTGTTCTTCTTAGCCATTACAACATATGCTTCATGACCTTGTCGGAAATAGTAGACCTAAAAGTGAAATGAGACAGTTAGCTGACTAAGATTTTGAGTAAACAGAATGCTAGTGTACTGCTGTCATACAGTGTATGCACTCTCTCTTTTGTCAACTTCTTTTCTGCTTGTTTTTCCTGCATAAGTCACAGGTACTTAAAGAAATTAAGAGAACAGACAAAGCAGGTATCATAAAAACTTTTCTGCTTAGAAAAGAGTAGGAAAGAATTTACAACACAATTTTCAGTATCATCCTAAATTACATGTGAAACCAGAACAATATCAATAGCAAAACCCAAACCATTCATTTACCATCACACTATAGCACAATCCTACGACAGTAAGAAATCCTACTAATTCCACTTGCTTATTCAACACAGTAAGACAGCCCTAAGATAACAGTCAAGTATCACTAAATGGAGTATATGGTTAATTGCACCTTTTTTGAACAAGAAACATTGGCTATTTTATTGGGAAAATCTTTACTTCCATACCACCGAACAAACAGCCTAACAAGAACAAAAATAGGTATTTTAAGCACTTATAACAAATAATAAAGTATTTTCCACTGCAAACTTCAACAAGTCAGAATCTAGAGTTTTAACAGAAACTGGATAAACATTTCTTGTTATAACTCCCTGCTGTAATAAAGAAGTAAAAAAAAAAAAAGTGATCGTGGAATGTAGTAGGATGAAGGAACAATAGCTTAAATGTGAAGGCCTAATATACACAGCAAAAAGCAGATGAAATGTGTTTACAAAACAGTTGTATCACAAAACACTATAAAAAGCATCTGTCAAACTTCTACATTGACTGTTACTGAATTTTCTTAATGTTTTATGGCATTTTTTTTTTCCTTTGACATAGAGAAGGATTTCAGCTTTATTTCACATCATAAATGTTTTATGCCCTTACATTTCAGGGTACTTGACATGCAAAATATCCTCAAAGAACCTAACTGGCAAGCAAAGGAACAACTGTTTCTTGCTACACATTCACACTTAGTGGCACAGGCTACAGATAATTCCTTCTACACCTACTTTTGTGTCCTTTCTCAGGGAATTATATTTTTAATCTTAATCAATTATTGCTTCTGGACGTTTGTGTTAGTGCCTGGACATAAATGTGAAGAGCAAATATTGCAGACATATGCACTGTATTTGGGTAATCAAACAAGCTGAACTGCAGTCCCATTTTTGTCATATGTTTCCCACTGTTCCTCCAGACACATGACAGGACTTCAAATGACAGTATGCAAAAAGAAAACAGGGATGTTATGTGCTATTCTCAGGCACTGAAGATAACTAAATACAGCACTACTGTTATTTCCTGTTTGCACAGCTTTAAGAAAACAAATCTGTAATCTCTCTCCTTCCAAATCTTATAAAACATATCAACCAGCCCACCGAAATGTTCACAAGCCTCAAGACCTCTTTTTTGATCACATTTCTTTAATTAAATCTATCTTTTGTCTCTGTGGACCTCAGAAAATTACCTTCTAGTGAAAAGAAAGTATTCATCATCCTAAAACAAATCTGGGAAAAGCAAGTATCGGAGAGAGAATTTCAGACACAACTACTCCTACTTTCTAGGCACAGGATAGGAAATTCCCTGATCACGATACAAAGTTTTTCCAGCAAAAGAATGTAGCCTAATTACATATTACTAGTATACAGTGCTATTCAGCAGGCACAAGACCAAACACAGGAGTTAATCTTACTTAACTGGTATGAAAAGTCTTCTGGTAACATGGTAATGATGAATCCTTCACTGTATCCAGAAGGTATCTGGCACCAAATGTATTTGTATGGACATAATCTTTAGAAAAGCACTGTCTCCAAAACATGTTTGGTAGACAGTCTAAGTACCTAAGCATTTTCTGTACCTGAAATACTGACTTGAACAGCTACTCCTCTCAGTCTCATATAATTACTACATAGTTGCAAACTGGATTCAGTAAAAAAGCAGAAGTAAAAATTTGCATGTGCAACCACTGGTTCAGCTTCTAAGCTGTTACCCAAGATCAGCTGCAGCTCAGAGTCAAAAGTTCTATAAACGTGTCATAAGGAAAGGCACATGCTGAATGTAGTAGAAGCAGCAATGGTATTGCAACAGCATGGAATAAAGAGGTCAAGACAAAGCAATACTGCATGCAAAACATTTTAAGTATGGCGAAACCTTTTAAGCTAAAATTTGCTTTAGCTTCTAATCAAACAATGTTTTGAAGACAATCCAAAATATTCCAATAATAAACGGGGAAAAAAAAAGCAGATGATTTTTTAAAATGGCAAAAACAAGTTAAAATTAAAAAAGAATACAGGGGAAAAGCTACAGTACCTCATCCCCCATCTGTGGTACAAATGGGCACCGACGAGGAACAGTGTCTGTAATCCACGCTGAAGGCAGCCATTCTTCCAGTGTCAAACCATTTTCTGCCAGAACTCCTACAGCCAGCCTCTAAAGAAAATGCACACACAAGATAATATGAGTAAAATAACATTTAGGGCAGCCCTGTGTTTTGGGAAGTGCTTTATTAAAAACTGACTGCCAATTCTCTAATATATTTAATGTAAAAAGGAACATGTCAGCATGAAGATAAACCTGACTTAGCCAAAACCAAAAGTACTAACAATCTAAAGATTTTTTTTAATAATAATCTTTTGTAACAATCATTTAATTTATTAAAAATGAAGTCTCATGCCAACTTAAATATGCCATCCTTTTGAACCAATTAGATAAAATATATACAACAAAAATTGCTAAATCTTAATTCGAAAGCTGTACATACACCTTGACTTTTAGCTCTTTTTGTATTAAGAATCTATCTAGCAACAAGATCCAGTGAACAGGTTCTATACTTATCCTTCTAATTCCTTCTCCTTTTTAAAGCTATGTTTTAAACCACCATCCCTCAAAGAAAACATCCAGGAAACAGTTAGATAACTCATGAGGACTGGAAATCATTCTTGATCAGGCCTGATCTGACTAGTGAGATGGTGGGTCTTAAGCTGAAAAATCATATTCAGGTTTTATTCTTGAGGAGGTAAGAAGAGAATGGGGAAATAATCTTTTTTGAATTTCATGTCTGTCACTGGATGTTTCTGTGTAACAAAATAAGGAAGAAAACCTTCTGTATTGGTTTCTAAACCACTGACCAGTTTATAAAAAGCTTTTAATATCAGATGTCCCCAAACTTTCTTCCTGAGAGAAGTTAGTCTGTTAGTCTGCCCTAACATAGAAAAACACTCTTTGGTCTTCCTATGTACTCCTTCACTCTTCTATTAATTTTTAGATTGGCTGTCGCTGGAGGGGGATTAGAAATGGAAGCACCATTCAAGATCTTGGCAGCCAATGCATTAATAGGAAAGAAAGACATTCATTCTTTAATTCTTTCTTAACTTCTATAATTTTGTGCCTAGCTACAAAGATAGTTAGTACTACTTTCCCCTTTCCTTCCAGTGGAAAAAAACAATTTTGATTCAGATTTGGAAAACAGGAAGAACTTTGTACCAGTAACACTATGAGCTCTCTGTCCAGCAAGGCAGTAGAATCTCTAGCACAAAAAATCTGAAGATTTATCTGTCAGGAATAACGGGTATACTTAGTCCTACCTAGGCTCAGAAAGAAGAGATGATTTTCTGATACTCCTTTCAGCCTAATATTTTCTTCTGATTCTAGAATGAAGGTCATCTTTAAAATATGAAATATTTAAGTCTGACATTTTTGGAATCAAACAGCTCTGTCATCACAGTAACTGGGACCAAAATAGATTCAAGTCCTCTTAAGACACTCAGTTTAGTTTTAATCTAAGTGTAAATGTTAGGTTGTTACCTGATTTTATATTTTAGAATAAAAGGCTAAAGTAGGGCTTTAACCTGTTTATAAAAATATATACATCATATTTTTGTGATATTATGCCATTTTCTGATTTTAGACCGTGTAAATACCAAGATACTATTAGTACTGACCCTATAACTAATGACTCCATACAACAAACTAAAACTTGTTTAATTAAAGAGTAAGACTGCCACCTAAAATCCTGTACGACTTCAGGTTTTTAATGGTACAACTGAAGGTTTTTAATGATAATATGCCAACATGCATTTTAGTTGTTTCATCAGCCTACTATCTAATTAGAGGCAAAATGAAACAGTGACTAGTCAGGACTCCTGATCTTATAAAATAAACCAAAATATGGTTATTTCATCACCTAAATGATATTTCCTTAGGTATTGCAAAAATAGAAGCTTTGCACTCATGATACACTTGGTATCTACCAGACAAATCACTACTGGTCTTCATAAAGAAAGATCTATTTTTTTCCGATTGAACAACAACAACAAAAGCAAACACATAATCAAAAACACAAAAATAACTTAAGTCACTGAAAGCTTTCATGTGCTGACTTAAAACAGGAACTACAACAAAGCAAACAAAACCCAAACAGACAGTAACAAAATCCTGGTCAAGTGAAGTTCTACTTGACAGAAGCATAGTTGAAATATAGTTCAAATATCATACATTGTGAAAATAGAAAATGACATGATTGTGCAGACCTGAGGAGAAACTGCAATTAAATGGAGAGACTGTCAGTACAGATGAAAAAAAATACAGGCACACGTAACATTAATACACCTCTCTAAAAGAAATTTATAGTCCAAGACAGCACAGTGTTAAAGAACACTGAAAATGTTCCTTAAGTGAAATGCTAAATATTTAGAAAGCATATAATTACAGCAACCTGTTGACTTACATGAGTCAGTATGTCTTATTTATTACTGGTAAAAGACCTGTTTTTAAATTAACATTACTGAATCAGTCATCAAAATCTGTCAAGACACTAAGAATGATCATTCTTCAATATACAAAATGCATCTAACCTTTTGTTTTCTCTCTTTGGGTTTTCTCTTCTTTGGTGATGTTGATGGTCCATCTTTCTCTTCGCTCCCTTTCTTTCTTTCCTTTTTAATTTGCTTCTTTTGTTTTTCAGGTCCTTCCTCATCTTCTGAACTACTTTCTGCTTTTTTTGTTTTAAGTTTAGGAATTTTCTTTGGTGGCTGCAGATTGATTCCTGCATCTGCTGTCCAGTCAGAATAATCACTAGAGTAGTCACTACATATGACATATGAAAGAAATAAAGAAATTAAAAACTAGAACTACACAGGTCTGTATAATTTGAGCCAGTACAAGATTAGAGTTAACAGTCTAGAAAACAACATTTTAGAAGTTTAAATGCAGTGCCTAAAAACATATATTCTAACTTCAATTTAAATGGTAGTAAAAGAAAAGCTTTGAAATCACTCTTGTAAAAATCACATTCTAGTATCACTAGAATAAACCCACTCATAACTTGGTCAGTTCAGATGATACATTTTAAATTCTGAATATCATTCTCATGTCTTATAGCTTTGAAGAGCTTTGAACTGAAGTTTAAAAAAAAGAATTGTACTCAAGAAGAAGCAATGGCTTGAAACAACCTCAGTCTTTGATTTAACTTCAAGCTACAGACCAGCAGAGATGGTCACAAAGCTCAGACTGACAGTCATAGGAAACTGCATTTATGTGCCTGAAGTGTTTACACCTGCAAAAAAACAACCCTCACAAAAACCACTGGCAAATACTTCTGCTGATAGCAAACAAGGCTGAAACATTTCCTGAATTTTAAGTTAACTAATCATACAGATGACAACAAAATCCTGAAAATTTTAAGTTCTATGCCATCTTCTAAATGTACATTTTTGTTATTGCTGGTTGTTTGCAGTAAAGATAAGATTCTATAAAATTTGTAAGTAGAATGTTTCTCTAGGAGATATACTGTCACTTACCTAGAACTGCCATCACTGTGCCATGCTCTTTCATCATCTTCTGATGTTCCACCACTGGCAACAACTACTTCCCCTTCCTAACAAAGGGCAGAGAGGAGTGGGGATGGACAATGATAGGAAAAAAACCAAAGCATTTTCTTTGGAATTCAGACTTATTTAGATGAAAGGAAATAAAGTATTTACGCAGAGATTCATAGTACACAGCAGTATTTTTCAACACACAGTCGATCCCCTAGTGCTCCTCAATCCTGATTTCAAAAGGCTAGCTTAATTCTAAAGAAAATTATTACCAAAAGTCTTTAATGTAGAACTTCTCTATTTTTCTTTCCCATTTCTCCACTGTAGCTATATCGCAGAAACACAGGCTGCAAGGGACCTCTAGAGGTCATCTTGTTCAGCCTCCCTGCAGGTGACCATACTAATAAGCTATACAGGCCATACTTTTAGGCTCACCAATCTAGGAAAGATTGAATATTGCAGGCATTTACTTTGCAAAATCCCTTTTGTCAGTTAATTTTTATGCAAAACTGAACACACACAACTGCACAAGAAAACATGATTCAATGTTGATTTTTAAAGAAATGAAAGAAAACACTGCCTTTTAACTAAAAGCTTAATTAGCTGAAGCAGGAGCTTAAAAAGAAATGGAACTGAGGATCTTACGTCTGAGGAACTGTGTCCATTTTCTAACTCTTCAGCAGGCCTTGCAGGTTCTTCTACTGCATATCTTGTGCGGTAGTTGTGCTGGTTAGCTTGCTGTTTTCTTGAATCACTAGTGTCTAGCAAATGATCATGAGAATGGTTCTGTGAAGACATGAAAAATCAAAACAGATTATTTTTGAGTATATATGTTATTAGTACATACCATTTCATTTAACATTTGTATTAAAGGAAGCAACCTTTGCTGTAGCTAGACAATACCAGTTTCAACATCAGAAAACTCAAAACACATCACAAGTATAAAACTAAAGCTGTCTAGAGCAGAACAGACTCTTTGGAGAACTCAAGCATGTCTTTTTTTCCATCTAAAGAGTCAGATCTGTGAAAGACATCACACACTAATGCATTGATTAGTAATAGTCATCTCTATATGCTAAGTCAAGGCTTTTAAATGGTAAGATGATGCACAAAAGAATTCAAATGAAAGTCACTTGTAAAGAATGAATTCTTACAATTGCTTTTAACACTTGAAGTATGTAACCCTATATTGATCTCCTATTCGTATAGAAATTTTAAGTGCTATAAGCTTGATTTCAAGATTGTAATATTTTTGACACGCATAGTTGAACTTCAGGCCTTATCAGTCTCAATGAAATAGCTTCTGCACTCATTCCTAGATGCCACAAAAGGTGGTATGCTCCTCCAGTGTTCTCTTTCTTCCCTAAAGGAAACCTGATATCTATCAAGTGCTGATATAGTTGAAAAAACAACATCAGCAGAACTGGAACAAACCACAGAAAGGTATTAATATTATCAGAGCATTCTAGTAAGACAGACAGCTTGTAGCTATTCCTCTCAGACTTTTTTCTTCTTGAACAATGAAATTTTGTTCTAACAAGATTTCATGAGGTTTGTATCACCTCACTTCCACAACAGAAGTAACTGTTATTTTATGCTGCCCCTGTTTAAGGCAAAACAATGACATCAGCCCTCATGGAGATTGACAAAGTTATTCTGGGGTGGGCCTCACCATCCCCAAGTTAAGATCTGCCCCCTTGTTGAGGCCCACACAGTGTAAAGTGTAAAAAGTTTCCAGCCCTAAATCATTAATATAGTATCCAGAAAGGGAACAAGCTCTGAGTGCTGCAGTAATAGGGACAACCTCAGCAGAAAACCTCAAACATCGTAAAGAAAGCACAGACAAAAAAACGAGGGATGGAGCAATAACCTCATCACTGGAGGCTTTCAAGATGCAGTTGCAGATGGTGCTAAGTAATCTCACCTAGGCTCCCTTTTCCAAAGAAATGTTGGACCTGATGATTTTTCGAGGTCCCTTTCAGACAGGGTTGTTCTGTGACTTTGTGATCTTTTCTGTCCCTATAGATGAAAGTTGGTTCATAAGGTTAAATTTTCCTCACTAAAAAAACCAAACCAAAACAACAAAAAAAACGACTTCCTGTTAAAAAACACAGTAGAGCTTGACTAAGCAGCTATGATGTGGTTTTTTGTGGTTTTCCTTAGCCAAATGCAGAAGCCTGATAGCTAGAGTTTTTCTCTTATCCACTATGTTAGAAGATGCATGCCTTTTTCAGGAATGACAGCACCCATCCACCTGGGTAGTCCAGCATGCTGTGCAATTCCACCGCAGTGCACAGGACCAACATACAGCGCTCTGTGTTCTATTAAGTGTGTATTCTTTTATTCTGTCTAGTGAATTCAACTGGGGAAGCTACCAATGTCCTCTTCTTGAGAAGCTGATAGCACAGCTGCTTGAAGACACTTCTAGCAGGATTGCTTAGCAATCAGCATTTCAAGATTGCCCAGACTTTTGAAACTAGCAGCAGTCCTTCTGGACTCAAAGTGGCAGCACGCACCAGATCTCTTTGGGCTGCTTTGACCTTACCCAGACCAGCTCTAAGGCAGCCCTTAGACTGCCTTAGACCTAGACTGCTCAGCCCATCACACAGTACATTCTGCCCTCAGCCTTCTGGGGTTGCTCACTTCTTGTCAGGCTCTCAGGATTGATTACTGACAGGTTACAAAAGCCACTGTTACAACAACTTGTTTCTGCTACTTTCATAGAATACCCACTGGGAATCACTGCTTTTGTATAAAGCCCATCCAGCATCATGAAATATTTTATGAAGAACTATTGACAGTAGAAACAGGATTGGCTAAATCCAATGTAACAAATGAGTAAAGTATCCTCTATAACAACAAGCATTAATTTTGCAGCAACTATGGTACAACTACACTGAATTTGCTTACTCGTCTTCTCTATAGAACTAAAACTCCTAGAAATTCACACACCAACTTCCATTCAGAAATAAGATTTCTCAAATGGTTATTATAAAATGCCTTTATCCTAGTTATGTTGGAACTACTGGTTCCTTGAAAAAACTGAGGTAATTCGCACTGCTCTTTGGTTCTGGAAAGAGCTCAGTTCTTTTCTTTTGACAGTTTGGACGTTCACCAAAAAGAGAGAAAACGAAGAAAAAAAGGAAACGAAGAAAAAAAGGAAACGAAGAAAAAAAGGAAACGAAGAAAAAAAGGAAAAAAAATCCCCCATGGAAGCACCTATCAAAGCAAGTAATACCACTGTTCGCATATTGTATCAGGGTAATGCCAAAGGGTAACAAGCTTTTTTGAGAAAGATACAGTACCAAAATAAGAATTTTTAAAAGTTGTTACCCATGAGGAACAAAATCACAGAAAGGCTGAGGTTGGAAGGGACCTCTGGAGATCATCTCAGTTAATCACCCTGCTCAAGCAGAGACCAAAAAGGTATATAGCTTTCACATCCTGCCAAAACAACTGCAATTTAACATCATTCCTATTCACCATAGCATTGCCAAAACTTGACAAGAAGCTGTAGGTGAGGCAGATTCTCATTTATTTGGTGGTGAATGGGTGGCAGTATGATAAAGTTTTGAGTGGAAAGAAAAGGTAGTAAAAGCTGGGATTTTTTTTTTTTTTTTTTTCCCCCCAAAATGGAAAACCATGACCAAACTCTTCAACAAGGGCTGAGGGAACACAGCTGATAGGTCTTTTTTCAATAGATATTCTGAAGAAAAGAGTTTGAAATTGCACTCTCAACTCTAATGGGAAGTTAGAAAATAAAGCCAAGATTACCTATGATTTGAGGTTCAATCATCACTCTCACTCTCTCTGTATACTTTGATGAACTGTCACACATGCCGACAAATACCTTGTATCACATCCAAGGCTTCCATTCAGTATTAGAGCACATCTATTGATACATTAGAAACTACAGCTTCTGTCAGAACAATTTTTCTGTGAAATACAAGTGATGGTATTTCCTGTATTTGAAAGGGACAGATACATATCATCTAGACAGAGCTGAAGGACTTAACACCATTTCTGAAGACCGACTAATATAGTGGAAACTCAGAACTGTCCTAGCAACTTCCAAATTAAAGCACTGCCTACTACTGTCCTTAAGACCTTGACTCCACTAGGAAGCACAGCGTTGCTATGCTTTTATAAGAGTTGCAGAAATCTTGATATTTTTTCTTCGCCAGGAGGATGTGCTTGGAGAATCATTCCTCCTTTCTTCCAACAGGAATTAGCCTTTACTAGTAAATTAAGCAGCAGTAGGTCACAAGCAAGTGTCCAATATTAGAACTCCAATATCAACAGATTCTCACAGCCTTCTTAAGATAAAGAAGGAAACTTCAGATTGTGGGTGTTTGTTTTTTTTTTTTTTTCTGCGTGTGCTTTTCCCAACGTTATATTTCAAACGCTATAAATTTAAAAAAATGGTTTGCCAAATACTAGACTTTAAGCAAAGCTACAGAAATTATTAAATATGTTATTCACAACTAACTTTCACAACACCCTGGAATAAAAATGTGTAATAAGACTTTGGAATCTCCTTAAAACGTTATTATAGATGCTTTCCCTATAAGCCTACACTTTGGCTTGAAACCCAAAATGCTATGGTTGGCTTCTGCTCTCCTTTCCATTTTTTTTCTTCCACATTTGGGTCATTTTATTGAGAAAAGAAAGAAAATATTACTTTATCATTATATGAACAAACAAATTTCACAGGTTGATATAAAAATAGCATTTCATACTGCACAAACATAACTTTAAGAAATTTAAGAACAATGTTCAACCTTTTTCTAGATTAGCTAATGTTATTGTAGAATGACATATAGTCTACAATTCTTTATGCTGTAACTTTTAGGCTTGAATATTACTGGAAAGTAATGTTTCCCCAATAATATGCTTGAAGTGATCCCCATCTTCTTTAGACCATAAGCTCTCTCACAAAACTCTTAAGAATTTGCTAAACTACAAAAAGGGTTGCAGTCTCAACATCACTGTAATATAAATTGCAAGGTATGAGTATCAAAATCTGCTGTTTCTGAAAGATCAGAAAGATTTAAATGGTATTTTCTAGTTCTATCTTCAATGAAATACAGACTGTAATCAAAGCCACACAGTCACTGTAAAGAATCGCAACAGAAAAGCTGCTGAGTTAATTTCTATTTAAAAAGAATCAAAAATACCTCACAACAGTTTCTGAAATTAGATCAGTCTTGCTTTGTTTCCCTTGTCCTTCATTTTATTACTGACATTACAGAAGATGACAAATTCAGATGACCATTCCAATTGTTTTGACTCTATAAAGCAAGAATGTACTCACGCTAACTGTACACAGCAACAAAAATTACTAAAATCACAGCATTTTATCTAACTGGAAAACTTAATCAATTGGGATCAAGCGCCATTTTCTCCCTGCAGATCTGCTTATTTCAGGTCCATCTGACATCTACTTACACCTGAATCCCTCTGACATTCATCTCAAGGGATTTTAATTATCATTATGCTTCTCATCAACTCAAGTCCTCCAGTAAGAAAGATTTAACAAAGAATAAACAAAGTATCAGTTTTCGTTTCTGAAATTTCATTAAAAAGAAGTATCATGCATGGTATCAGAAGGATTTCTGTAAATGTCTGTAAATGAATTCACCAAGAATTACTAAATGATGAATGCATACTAAAAGGCAGAGATCTTGACTGTCTGTTCTTTCCTCAGAATAAAGGTGGAAAGTACCTAATGGGCTGGCCAAGTTACCTTACCCATAACCCATACATTCTGGGCATAAGAATCCAGATCACAGATCTTTCAGACCCAAGATAAATGAAGAGTACATTCTTCCCTGGGTTAACAGAAGAAAATGATAGAAGTTTTTCCTGAGCTACATTTTCCTCTGTAGGACTGTAAGGGAATAAATATCTACAAAGAATACAGGGAACATCTATATTCTTTTCTTTCTTTCAAAGATGTAATAAATGCAATTGCTGAAACCAAAATTCCAGACCAACTTGTCTACTCTACTGTTCTTATGCTCTGGTGATATTTTAAGAGAACTATAAACCAATTAGAAATACGAGGATAAGCCGGTAGAAATTCTCAGAGGACAGACCTTTTGACCGAGCCGTAGCTTACATAAGCAAGAAGAAACTCTACAATTCAGCATCAAAATACATCCCCTCAGTCCAACTTTATTAAAATTAGTGAGGCCCATCTCCCATTGTTCCCGAGAAAGAAAGAGTTATTAAATTTTATGATATTCTGTCATGACCACCTCCAAAACCACAAAGGACAAATACCTTCATATCTCTGGATACAAAATTCGGCAGATAAATTGCAGGAAAAAAAAAGTTCAATTATTCTTGAGCAAACACTTAATTGCAAAGCATGTAATTTAAATACAAGAAATTTGAGAAAGAAATTGAAAGCAGTACTCAGCATCTGAAATTTATTCAGTATCAGTCCCTTCCTCCCCAAGAATGCTAAGTATATATCACAGGAATTAAGTGTGTGGTCAATAGCTGCACAGTGTTTATACATTTGCTTTTTTAGAATTTTCCACATTTGACTTCATGATTTTTACTTTTCAGTGGACAATTTGCATAGGCATGTATTTTCCTAAGATCTTAATTACAGTCTCTTTTAGAATATTACAGAAATCGAAGTACGTGTTGTCCTTTCCATTTGTTTAACATTTACTTCTTTCATTACAGATTCTAGTTGGTTATTTAGCTTAAATAAATGCTAAATTATTGGTTGGTTATAAGAGCATAAAGAGAATGTGATGCACACATAAAACTGATTTCTAAATTAACACTGTGTAAAGTCATTTTTGTAAATACAGCCTTCATTTTCTTACTGCTATAAAGGCTGGAAAGATTAATTTTTTTTCAAAGGTTTATGAAAACATCAAGTCAGTTACGATGACAGTTTCATTTTTAGCACAGCCCGCTCCCTTCTTTCCCCTTTTACTCTTTTCTGAAAAATACATCCTGGGTTCAGCAAAATGCATGATTTAAGAAACACCACAGAAATTTGCATAATGCTCATTAGCCCAGCAAGACAGAAAATACCCAATTCTTCAATTAGAGACTAACTTAAATGCATTAAAGAACTATGACTTAAGTTTTAATTGAATGTTTCCACAGAACACTATGTCAAACTCTAGACATCTGCATCAAGATGTATTGATCAACAGTGACAGCCACCCTACAGCAAAACACATTCCCAGATCTGGATTCACAACGCTTCTCATGCAGGGGAGTTCTAAGAGCAATCTCAGATTATTCAGGGCATAGTGAAACATCAGTATGGACATATGTCCTCATTCTGCGGAGGTAAGCAAAATCCCATACCCCTGGCTTTCAAATTTAAAACTGAGAATAATGATGTAAACTCATGCGGCCTAACAAACAGCATTTATTTTATGCTTTTTACTGTGATAAAGTACAAGTGTTTGTTTACCTTAGAGAAAGTAGGTATTTTGTTCTCTCTCTGAATGTGACTCATTACGTGTTTTCTTTTCTCTTCTGATCGATACACCCTTACTTCTTCCTCTCCCTTCGCTGTTCTCCATTCTTCCTGCCTACTGAAGATAGAAAATTAAGGCGTTAACCTTAACACAAAAATACTACCACTTCTCTATCAAGTCATGGAATAAACGTTCAATAGTTGTGACATGCTTTGAACAGTCATTTCTTTGTGGAGAGTCAGAACGGCTTCAAAATTACCCTTTCCAGATAAAGACTTCAAGTGGCAAGAATTGAGTACATGGCTATGTTCTGTTCAAAAGACATCTGATTCAACTATTCCCAAAGCCACTATTCTAAATTCAAAGGCAACTTTCTTGAAAATATTCTCAGAATCTAAAAAACGTAATTGAAAAGTACCTTTTCTTGGTTGTTTACAATTGGCACAATTTCTGAATCTAAAGAAAATCTGCACCTTCATACATCAACATAGCGTCTGTATTAATTATCTTCTCTTGAGAACATTTCCAAAACTTAACCATTCAGAAAATCCTCTGTTTACATAAGAATTTCAATCTTATTTCAAAAAGCTAGAGCAGCCCAAACGCAGTTAGTAGGGTTTTTTGCCTTATTGATAAAAGTATTTATCACAAGACTATATCACTGAACAAAATAAAGTTATTTCAAGTTTGAAAATCAAAGTTCAACTCAGGCACTTGATGGGTCAGTGCTCCAGCTGTAAAATGCCAGGAACAAACACAACTGAAACATATTGCAATGGTATGCCTCAAGTCAAAAATTATCTAGGCAGTTAGACTCTACTGCAACTACAAGTTCAATTATCATTTGCAAAATCCTTATTTTTTATTCATATTACTTGTACAATTCCAAGATTTTTACAAGTGTCAAGGAAACAAGAACTATTTCACACATATTGATTTTACAAGAATTAAGACCACGGAAGAGAGAAGCACAAATAGGACTGTGACACTGTTTAATTTAACAAAGTTCACAAAATTAAAATATTCTGCAAACTGGACCTTTGCTTACCTGGCCACACCAGAAGACAGTTCAGGCACCACAACCCTCCGGCTCCAAGCCACGAGGTCCCGCTCAGTTGCTATTTCACTTCTGGGTGCATTACTGTGCATCTGACGCACACCTTCTATTTGCCCACTACGTCTTAACCCTATATTTGGTGGTGAATGAACTTCAGAGGTAGAACTTACAGATGCTAAAAATAAATAAATAAATAAGTAAATCAAAAGGCAATAGTTGTACTAACTGGAAATTGTTAGGGTAACATCCAAAAATTTCAAAATGCTTGGAAAGAAGGAACAAGTTCGTTTTAGTTATTATTCAGGAGAGAGCAAATATTAAAGCAATTCCTATAACTTCCAAAGTTCTACAGGGTTGCAGAAATCCATTTTAAAAAGTCATTCCAAAAAGGAATGGAGGCATCAACACACAAGAGAAGTAAATTGTCAAGTGTCTCATTGGTTCAGTGTTCTTATAAAATGTCTTCGAAAATGTTTACAAGAAGATATTTTGTGCTACTGTTCTCTAGAATGATTTTACATTAAAAAAAAAAAAAAAAGGGATCTCATGCAGTCAGCATATTCCTTAAACAATTTTCTACCTTCAAAAAAAAAAAAAAGCCACAATACTGCAAAGTACTAGGAATCCAAACTGTAAGATTTTCAAAAAAGAAACCCAAATGATCAAAAACAAACAAAAATCTAAACATAACAGCAACAACAAAAAAACCCTATACATGCAGCATCCTACAAACACCCACAATCCTAGCAAAAATTCAAGCATTTTTCCACAATTCACACACGTTATTCTTGCTTATTCAGATAGATCAATCAAGATTCTTTCATTATTATTTTGGTTTTTTTTAAGCATTGAAATCTACCCTGTAATCTACAGTAAAATATGGAATAGCTATTATGAGATACAAGTAAGCTTTTCCTTCTTTCTCCCTTCTGTTTCCTTGTTTGAGACAATTCAGATTTCCCTCAAATAGATGGGCAATTCCAGATTAAACTGCAGAATAGTTACACCTAAGGGAACACAGCCACTGCAAATCCTCTGAGTGAGCACACAACTTAAAGATAATTTTGTCATGTGAAAAATTATGAAGTTTTGCAAAAGTAGAAAAACAACAGACAGGAATAATGTCCTATCATTCTGCACTTCTTCTCTAGTAGCTCAACAAAATCATACAACATGAAATGCAATTAGCATTTTTCCAACTTTCAGATGGTTAGTTGGAAAAACCCTCACCACAGGTGTGTAATTTACCTCTGCTTATCCGGCTGGTACTACTAGTTCCTGCCTCCCCAGAACGTCTTTGATCCTGCTCTTGCTGAAGTCTTTGAATCATGCTATCCAGTGGGCTAACTTCTTGGTTTGCTTGTTGACTAAGGACTTGATTCAGTCCTGTAGAAATAAAACACACAAGAGAATAAACACACAAATATTAAAGAATCTTGTATCACAAACTGCTCATCTAAGTTTTTAGCTTTCAAATTTACAAGTACAGTACACAATAATTTGATTAAGTATTGCCTAAGCATATTTTTAATAGTCTTTTCCTTGGTGTTCTTGTTTATAAAATAGGATAACTTTTTCTTAAGTTCTTGCATTAAATTTCCTGGAGCAGGGTGAAGGTGACCACTAATTCCAAGAAAGGTTTATATTTGATCAAGTGCAATCAAAATAAGAAGCTTAACGCAACTGCTGTTACCTTTAATCAGTTTAAACCAAAGGTTACACAGTACTGGAACAGGCTGCCCAGAGAGGTCGTGGAGTCTCCTCCTCTGGTGATATCCAAAATCCACCTGGACACTTTCCTGCATGACCTACTGTGACATGCTTTAGTAGGGGGGTTGACTAGATGATCTCCAGAAGTCCTTTCTAATGCCTAGAATTTTGTGATTCTGTGAACTGTGTGCTCAGCCTGCCCCAAATGCATCACAGAACACTTTAATCAAAACTTCAATTAAACACATGGGGGGGTGGTGCCTGAGCAATTCTTGTCAACAGAAGCGGAACTTGCAAAACTTTGTAATGAGGGGTGACAGTATTCAAAGAAACAAGCTACAGAAACTATTTTCCCACTATCATCCAAAGAGATATCATGGTATATACTTTGAAAGACGAAATACTCAATATTACAGCAATTTTGCTACAAGATACATAGCTTTGACTGTGGCAAGAAAGAAGCCACGCTGATTATGCTATGCAATAAGAATATAAATATTTGAGACAGTGCTCTCAGTTTTTAAGTTAGTTTAGTTGCAGTCAACTTCACCAAAGCTGCAGAAGTTTGAAATCAAGAAGTGAACTCTGGTATAAGCACAGTTGGATGTTTTCTGATGTGTGTAGCAAGGCAGTCAGATTTATTCACTGATCTCATAAGTAGACATATTGTCTTATGAAAACAGTTGGAAATATTACAAATAACGCCAAACTGATCTTAAAAAAAAAAAAAAAGAAGAAGAAACCACTTCCTTTTCTCCATCCATATTTCCATCCACATGGACCACATCTAGGTAGTATTCTACACAGTGACAGACAGAACATATTCCTGTTCATCACGTATAGTATGTGTGTACTATAAGACTTCAGAAAAATGTCGTAGATTTTCCATCCTTATCAAAACTTGAGGTTCTCATAACAAATCAAAGTTTAAGTACAGCTGACTGTCTTTATCTACAGAGGAAAAAGACGTGTATGTTTTGTATTTTTCTCTTCTTTCAGGTGTTACCTGTCACAACTGATCTGTGGAAGACCAGACTTTTAGGCTTTTTGATGTAGGATATCTTAAACCAAAGAGATCAACTGAAACCTCATTCAGCATCATATGCTGTTTTCAAAATGAAACAAATTCCAAGCTAACTCGTAGCGTAGCATCAACTAGTATTAATCTGATTGATGACAAATAATTACTTGTCTGTCACTAGCAATCAGTGCCAGAACAATGCAATTTTTCAACATTATATGAACTGCTACTCCCAAAAATGAAAAAAAAAAGAACATAATGAGAAGGAAAATGTGTAACATTTACAGGCAACTACAAATGCTACAGTGACCAAAATGAAGTTTTCCATACCTGAAGATGTCACTCCCATCTGAGGAATAAGCTGTTCCTCCCTGCAGTTTTCTCGACCAGGAACCAGCCTTTGATACCTTGCAGGATGTGGGTTGCCATCCACATCAACCAAAAATGGGGGAGGCATAAGGTGTGGAGCCTGCTGTGTTTGTTCATCCAGGACAAAGTTGTTGGCATCACGGATAAGGGGCCGATAATCACTATGAAAGAACATCTGATCTGCTATCTGTAAACAAAGTCATTTTGTAATATATATATATATATATGCATATATGTATTTTTTCAAAAAGACTAATAAACACACTGAAGAAAATACTGCCAAAAATCTTTTTAAGTGTCACTGGTGGTCATAAGCATAAGCAAGAATGTAACCTGCTCTGTTTATCTCACTTTAAAGAGGAAAAGTGACTATCCTCCAGCATTCACTTTAAATATTCACACCTCAAAAAAAAAAAAAAAAAAAAAAAATTGCAGGTTTGATGATGGAGAGCACTTGAACAGACAAATGGAGCAATTTTTACATACTTGTAGATGTTTGATGGAACACAGCATTGCATAATAAAAAGGTCACAAATTTTCACATACACATATCTGATAATGTAAACTATGCCATAGACTAATGAACTCTGGTGTAAGAAGAGAATAAGGAAAATATTTATCACATTGCATCACTGCCATATATTTTATCAACAGAAGTCAAACATACAATTTTTACTATAGTGCAAGATAAGTGAAAAAGTCGCAGTAGCTAAAATAGAACTAACTTGAAGCTGAAATCTTCAACTTCAAAATAATTTCAGTCCACTTGCTCATAATTTATTCTAGTTGATAATCCACAGACACTGCAGATAAAGGAATTCTTTTGTCCAAATAGTATGTAAAAAGGCTTTTGGAATCACCTCTCACTGGCACACACATCTCAACACTGCATTCAGAAAGACACTGAACCGTAAGGAAAAAAGAGAACAGAAGACAAATGGCAATGTATACTACACATCCCAGCACTACTTATTGACAAGCAACCCTCTTGATAATGCACATACTCTTTAACTTTTAACAAGTAGAAGTAAAATCATAAAATCATGATTTACTCATAAAGAGATTTCCAGTGCAGAATAAAAATAACTGAGCAAATGAAGCAAGGCATAGAGATCCCAAAAAGAAAAAAATTCTCTTAGGTGTTAAAAGACAGATATTTTAGCACAGTCAAAGGAGTGCCCATGTAGAAAACACTCTGTTTTCTGAATATGCTCTATCATGAACAGTTCATAATACAATTTCCTGTAATTTGTTATGTAGAAACCAGTAATGCAGATGTTAGAGCATCTGGAACAGATCATGTTCAGAGGCCTACACTCTCAATGAGGGGACGTAAGACAACCAAGAAAGAATCAAACTTGTCAGTTACAGCATCAGAAAGTACCTACATGCACCTGCACTATGCAAATTTAGAAAAATAAATGTGGGATCTGGACCCCACACAAATTCAGAAAAGTTACACCAGGAAGAAAATTCAGAAGATGCATGGAAAGCTACAGAATAAAAAAATTTGCTTTGGGGATTCAATGGGTAACCCTTACAAAGTACATACGGACAAGGCAACATCCCACATCAGTAAGAAGCCCTGGATGAAGACAGGTAGTGCCTCTGTTAACAAAGGCTGAATGAGAAAGATGCAATCCTTTTCACATGTTTCATTACAGTCAAAGCTTGCTTACCAACTTTGTTCCTTCAGCTCAGCAGCTAGCTCAACATGATAAAGATATATGTCCTTTATGAGGATTTTGCCCAGAATGTAATTGTAGAGCACTACTTTTACCTACTGCAAATTTTCCTATGAAGTATTTCCCACACTGAGAAAGATTCCAATGGTAAGATTGTTCAGATTGTGAACTTTAATGTCTTTTATGTTGATGGTTTAATGGGCTTTAATGTGTTTTGTTTGGTTGTACACTATTGTCCACATTCCATGCTTAAAAAACTTCACAACCAAGTGGAGACCTGGAAATTCTTCCACTCACATTCAGCATCCTCATAGCATATCCTCATGATCTCTGACAAGATCATAAGGGACCTCTTCACCATTACCTTTCCTTTGTACTTTGCAATGCAATCAGATATGGCAGAGAGTAAACATTTTTTTACTCCATGTTAAGAACAGCACTTCATGGAAAACCCAGGCTCAGTCCAACTCTTGGACGGAACTCCGCAAAGCATCTATCAGAACCTCAAGAATGATCTTATCTTCAGACTAGTTTGGGTCCAGAGAAAAATCAGAAGAATTTAGGGAATCTCAAATGGCTACATTCATTTGCTTACATGTCCAGAAGTCAAACAAAAGTACTAACGAACAGATCCACTTCCTGATAAACTTTTAGAGATTGAATTCACACACACACACACACAAGACACTATACCACCATTAGGACATACAAGACCTCTGTATTTCATACTACCTGCTTCAGGTGAGAAAACTTTCCACAAGATCTGAGTTCGACAAGAGTTACTTCTTTGGTAACTACACTACACACATGCTGAGTGTTCAGTTTCTCCAGATGGGCACACACACACACATGCAGAGATTTTTTCATTATTGTACCTATGCATCACACAGGAGCTGACAACAAGAAATAAGGAACCGTGGTTTGAACAATCAACATGGAAGTACTGCATCTTTAGGTCCATTATTCCTCTCTAGAGAAGTTTCTATCCATGCAAGAACTTCAGAAGTGTGCATGGGCTGCTGACAGTGAGCTCAGCTCATCCCTGATAATCTTCACACAGTCAGAAATTCAAGGAATTGATCTGAAATTGGCTCAAGTTCCATTAAATGGGTCAAATACTAAAGGAGCCAAAAGCAAACAATAAGCATAGTCCTTTTTTGGACTCCAAACATATGCATCATCAAAAAAAGAGGAAAAAAAAATCACTCCAGAGCCATCACTATCATGGCCAAGATCATAATGGAGGGAGGGGGAAAAGATGACTGAACAGTGTTTCCAGTCAGCTAGAAAAAACAGACAGTATTTGCACAAACGTTTTTTCATGTTGTGTTCAGAAAATCAAGAGCCTGCTCATAGCAAAGCTGACATGATTTCAGCTAGAATCTTTGCCCTGAACAGATCTCACAAATGTAAGAGTGCAGAATTGGTTATCACGCTTCTTCATCCTGTAAAAATCATTCCCCAAGATGCATGGAAACCACTTTTAAGCAAAACAAAAAACAAAACAAACAAAAAAAAACAACCCTGTACTTCCTACTAGCACTTATTCCCACATGATATCTGGGAAACCAGACTAAAAACTACTCCCAATTAAATCAACAAAAAACAAGGAGCTGAGGGTGAGACACCAAAAAAACAGAGCACCAAATCCCCAGCACCTATCAATATATATTTACCTTTCTCCATAAGGCAGGAAGACAAAAATAAAAGAAGAATTGGAACAAGAAATGAAAGATCCATAACTTCTAAGCTGACATTTAAGATGGAGATGCAAATCCCATGTGTTCCCATTTCTTCTATGGTCAATAATGACAGGATTACCACAGTAGCAGCTGAAGAGAACAATTTTAAATCACAAATAACTTCAAATTTTTGAACAATCTTTTCTTGTAGACTGCAGATAAAATTCCAAAGATCAAAAGGTCTGTAATATTCAAGGTGTGAAAACTGTTTTTCTTCAAACAGATCTAATCCCTCATGAGGAATGTTTCCAGATAGCTACAGAGACTCTTGGTCCATCACAGCAAAGACAGTAACTGCTTTTTGCTCACACTTCATTTCCAACATTTATGAGTTTCAGGGGATTATGCACTACCAAAATGATTGGAGAGAAGACTAATTAATGAACGTGGTGAGAGTAATCACATCAGGATTTAAAGTTTAGAAGAGTAAGAACACTGAAAGACAGAAGGACCTTAAAACTGATCTGATAATGCCAGTGGTAACTCTGCTCCTGTTTGTCTTCCCTGAAAGAAAATGGAAAATGCTCTGGTGGATTGAGCCGTAGTAATGACTACAGTTGCTATCCTCCAAATAAGTGCTTCAAGTTATAGTTGAGAAATATAATCATAAAATATTCTAGCACGCGATGCTGCTGACATCAAAATAAGAGCCAGAACACAAAAGAAATAATTGCAGTGGTTTATATGACAAAGATTAAAACTGCTTTTGTTATCTCTTCTTCAGGCCCCTCTGCACTAATATTTGACATGGTGCTTTCAAGGCCAGTCTGAGTCAAAAGATCCACAAGTAGAAAGCAAAATCCAGAAGCCAGCACTTCAACAACCTGTAAGTACTAGATACCAGGTGCACATATGAAAACTTTGGAACAGATATCTCTGTTTAAGCCTAGGAAAGGAAAGAGACATCACCTCATTTCTGGGTGATAAAAGAAAAACTCTTAATTAGTACTCCTAACTAGTAACCTACACAGCTCAAAGGACATGCTCATCAACAGGGAAAAACAGACCACCATAAATTATTTACAGCCACGAGGGTCTGCGGCACGGCCAAGGCACCTGCACTTAGAATAACACTGAGTGTAGTCTTAGAATAAAAATGTAACATTTTAATTACACAGTAATGGTAGAGCATTGCCATGTAAGTACCATGGCATCCCTGACAGCAGAAACACAGCAGACTTTTTTTTTTTTTTTTTAAACTAGAACATGTAATACATTTGCAGTAAAATAATTGTCATTCAGGCTACGCAGTGCTTCAATACAGATACCAGGAGTTGGTACTATTACACCTCCCCACATTTTTCATCTTAGAAACAAGAAAATTACTTAAAGCAAAATATTTAACTATTTCCAATTCCATCAGGTGGATCCATAAGGACAGTGGTAACCTCACTAATTTCACTGAGGAGACAGTGACTGGGTGATTTTTTTATTTTTACTTTTAATTTCCCATGCAAATAAAACATGCTTGACAGCATGTATCTGTAGTTGAAAACAAAAGACAGTGAAAGAAAACACAGTGTCAACAACAGGAGTCACACGTTCATAACTGAAAAATGAGTTATGATGCACTCTCTTGAGCTAAAGCTCTAACAAGGTTTGCATAAACACGTTCAAAACAGATAAACATTTTGACACATATCTTGTACTGTACCTTGTCATATTTGCTACTGGAACCAAAGCCAAAAATCAGAAGGTGACCGTGAGAATCAGTACATGCAAAATGCTGCCCATCAGGAGAGCACTTGCAGTCAAAAACTGCACCATGTCCTTGTCCTTCAATCTGAAATACATCAATATACAAAATGATTAAGTTACCAGAAACGAATTGTTATCAATTATGATTAGCAAAACTGTGATGCTGATGTTGAAATTTATATAAAATCTGTAAAGTAGTGTACTGCTAGATGGAAGTTCCTTTAAAACAGCTTACTTTTTTGGCTATTCACTTTCCATTGGATTTTTAAAATAATGCTCATGAAAGATGCCAAATTGATAGTAGTAGAAACTGACAGACTTAATCCGCAAAGCAGGCACAGTACAGGAAGTGAAAATAAAAGCTTCCCCTTGAACGTCCTGCTAATAAACCTAAACAGAGAGCTGGGTCCAGTTCAGGGCTTTAGTCACTACACCGTTTCAATCCTCTGCCTCTTTGCTAAGCTAGCCCATAGCAATGGCTGCTGTGGTGCTTCAGGACACCTGCCCACTACAAAACACACTGACATTGACAACCCACATTACACAACTTAGCAACTGCCTGTTACTGTAATTCCTACTCCTAATTTATTGGAGTGGGGGAGGTTTTGATTTTTGTAAAAACTCCACTTTTAAAAAGGAGAACTGCAAAGATTTTAAAAAAGGAATTTTTACCTGATACTCATTTTCTGTTTTCCAGTTCCTTTAAGCCAGAACAAATGGGTTTTTGTTTTTCCCTGCAACCTGTCAATCAAGCAGAGGTGACCAATCACCACTCTGAATTTTCACGTCTTCAGCACCTCTTCAGAAAGCCCCTTTCTATTCTCCCCAGTAAAGGACTTCTGGATTTTCTTTAAAGCAAAAAAAAAAAAAAAAGAAGAAGAAAAAAAAAAAAGAAAAAAAAAAGTAATTCTTTCCCTAGCTGTGGAGGGCCTATATACTGCCAGAACAAACAACAGCATTCAGCTTGCACGCAGAAGCACTATGTACTTCAACAGCACCTTCCAGAGGCCATCAGCATTACTTCTAGAGTTAATGAACTAAGCCTCAAAAATCCTGTGAAGCAGCCAGTGCCTTCACTAAATTGCAGACTGAGACTAAGGCAAGAAGTCCACTTCTTTTGCCCACGGTCCTACAGCATTCCTGCTCCCCTGCACACCCTCCCGACAGTGAAGGCTGCTACGCCTATGACCAGGGCTTCAATCATTTGACAAAGGTCTTTCCTACTACAAGTACTTTCCATCAAAGTTTCTGGATTAGGATAAAAAGAACATAAATCAATTCAAGTTTTATGTTCTATTTTGCCCATTATTCCAAAAGGAACAAATTCTTGATAGAAGTGTCCTATAGAAAAAGATGGAAAATAAAAGAGCTTCAAGTGAGTGGCACTAACATTGCAACAGCTAAGAACGCAGAATTACTTCAGGCTAAGCAAGATCCAACAACAAGGCAAAATGACAACTTTGTGCTGCTTTTTGCATACAGAAAGCTCATCTTATTCAAGGGAGGCGGTATGGAGAGGCAGATAAAAAGGGGAAGGAATTCCATCCCAAGTGCAAGCTTTACAGATGTATAGGAAAAATCTCAAAAAGAAGTACATACATAGAGACTGCTGACTGCCTTACCCCAACAAAAGAAACATAAATGTTAGAAGGCTTGATACTTTTAAGTTCCTCATAAACAGAATTTCACAGTCCTCCTATAGAGCTCAAGAATTGAAGACCTTGTTTCACAAGGAAATCAAAGCATGACCAGGGAAGAACTACTTGCTAACTACCGTGGGGGGAGAAACTTAAAAATAGAAGGAAAATAAATCAGGATCTTAGGTTATTTTTAATTCTTCCCAGCAAGAAATGGCTTAGATGGACCATTTTCAAGAAATTCCTGTATTTTAAGAGTGAAACATTAGTTGGAAGACATTCTCTTTATGTAAGAAAGAAAACAGTGATTTATTTATTCAGTAATTAGCACAGATTAAATAGTTTCACTCTAAATATGGTCAGAATCTGGTGCAAAACATGCTTATGAAAAGGACAGAAGTAGGATTGTTTAGTACAACCCCTCAAGTCTGGTGTACCACTATTTGGAAATAAAGACCCTTAATATTACAGAAACAAAAAATTACTCTTAGTGATAAGCTTCCAAGGCACAACTGCTATTAAAAGCAATTGACAAAGCCTGTCAGAGTGTGATATCTAGTGCATATATATGTACACACATAAAAATATTCTGATTTAATATATTACACTTTACAATGGAATTTCTTTAATAATAAAGCTAACACAGGACTTGGTCACTTGGAACAGAAATTAAATGTTAAGTTGCAAAAGGTAAAGCTGAAATAAATAATGAAGCTCTAACTTTGGCAAGCTAAATGTAGGACTTAAGCAAAAAGGAAGCCTTCCTCACTCCATCCCTTTGAAGTCAAAGGTACAAGTACTGTCTGAAGGCTGCATCCCAAAGCAAAATGTTTTCTCCTTTTTGAAATCTTTCCTTGCTGAATGAGAGGATATCTGTGGCAGGGAGAAGACACCACTCATGAGAACAAAAAAGCACACTGTTGTTAAGAGCTGTCCATACAATGTGAGGACTGCCAATAAGTCAGCACATTAAGACACTTGTTAGCAAAGCAAGTAGCAAAGATTCTTCAGTTACAAACAAGGAAGAAATTGTGGCGCATACAATGAAGAATAAGGTAAGATTACTTTTAGTATCAACAATTCCGAGAATTATGCCATTTGCCTGCATTTTCATTTGCAAGGAAACAGAAGGACATTGGAATGTCAAAGAGAGGAATGTTGATTAAGAATGAAAATGGACAGCTATTCTTTTCCTCTCGGTTCAAAAGAGTTTGCTGTTCTTAAATCAGAGATAATAAAGTTGTGAAACTACAGTATAAAGTAACGTCTTAGATCCTCAAAGTAGTTTCTTGTTTGAAAATGGAAAAGTACCTAGAGAAAGAGAGAAGATGGAACTTTTTTGACTCATTATCAATAGATAGTATGAAAGACTTAGAAGCTAGTTTTTAAGGAACACACAGTACATGCGGTAGAAATCACAGAATCGTAGAATGGCCTGGGTTGAAAAGGATCAAATGATCATTGAATTTCAAACCCCCTGCTATGTGCAGGGTTGCCAACCACCAGACCAGGCTGCCCAGAGCCACATCCAGCCTGGCCTTGAATGCCTCCAGGGATGGGGCATCCACAGCTTCCTTGGGCAACCTGTTCCAGTGCACCACCACTCTCTAAGTGCTCCTAAAGAAGCAGTAGAGGTTACCAGAAAACTTAGCAGATTTCCTTCATTAAATTAACTGATTTTGTATGCCAAGAAAATATAATTAATTTATTTAAAAACAAACAAACAAACAAACCCACAAAACCTAGCTGGATTTCACAGGCACAGCACTGTCACATGACATGGCACTTAATGCAAATGAAAGAAACTGTGACTGGTAGGAGAACTGTGCAGCAGGCAAAGTTACTAAGAATGGATAATAGTTTCTGGTTTTGAAAAAGACGCACAGAGCTAAAAGAATGCAAACAGCAAAGTCCCTCCATCCAGGTATTTCTATTAGTGACTACAGAAAAAAAAACTGTTGATGAAATGAACATTAGCAAATCAACCACAAAGAACAGTTGTGGGACACAGCACAAACAGTATCAACTGAAGCAATTAGAAGTCAACGAGAAAAAAATGCAGTAGGCCACAAATGGAGTAAGATTATTAGAAATAACTTACTAACGGAGCTCTGCCTATGCACTTCTACCTGTGCGGTTCCATCTCATCTTCCAACACAAGTCATCAGCATCATTTTAAAAGTCAGTGAACTAAGTCTTCCCTAGCCTGAGGTAGATAATTTCACATTAAGAGACTGAGGCAATTAGTTGGAAACACAGGAAGAAAGATCACTGACTGCAATGCATTACACTTGATGCAACAACAAAAAAGAAAACTATAATCCTAAAGCACACCAGAGGTACATCCAGACAAGAAAGAAAAGGCTCACAAAGGCTAGACAAGTAGGCAGTGAGACAGAAGAACTCTTCTAAAGGAATACAAATAATTTTTGCTTCCCATACTCAAGAGAAGCAAATTCCAACTGCAACAGCTACAGAGGAATGTTTTCACTTATCGTGAGAATGGAAAACCTCAGAGCTCAGTCTCTTAGCACAGACACTAAGGAAAGAGAACACATACTCAGAATCCTTTAGCAGGAAGACATCAAGTCTGCTAAAATGCTTGGGTACAAATGAAAACCAATTACAAGCAACATTCAAATTTGAGAACTAAAATTTAGATTCTCCCAATCACAACAATATGCCAGAACAACTTTCTAAAAATACCAATAAAAAGCAAAGATAATTAATTGTTATTAAAGCAAATAGACTCTTTTTTAAGTGTTGACACTACATTATAGCTGCTTAAATCAAGTCAATCTCCAGCTACTGGGAAGTCTCCCCTGCATATTTAGGTTCTCTTTTGCTCTAAGGAGCAATCTCTGATCTGTGATAAGCTAAAAAAATATCAGACTTCCTACCAAGTCCATTAAAATATCTTACAGATCACCCATGGGTGCAGTAACTTAAGATAAATCTCCAAGAAGTATTTACAATTTATTTTTTGTTACTAAATACTCTGCAAACTCAGTATTGCGTTTTTCTTTTTTCTTTTTCTTTTCTTTTTTTTTTTTTCCAAATTAACAGAGTATGATGAAGTCTTTACTCTTCCAGATATTTTATATGTCCTTACATATTACTCAAAGGTGAAACCTTTCAAAAAGATTTCAGTTAGTCTACAACTGACCAATTCTAAAGTAGTGCATTTAAAATCTTATTTTAAGTCATGCTGTGTTTCAGATGAGGTCATAGACTACAAAAATCTATATTATCCCAGCAAAACAGGAATTTTTTTCTGACATTATGAAGGCCACAATGTACAAAATAAATGGTCTTTAAATCTCCACTAATGCTGGGGATTACAATAGGTTGTCCATACGAGCCAGTGGCTTGCCTTTTCAGATATTAATCCGAACGAATCACCTCATATGGCAGAAACAATCGATGCAGAGAGTACTTTGTTGAGCTG